GGATGTGGCAGCCCTGAGACTAAGTGGACCCATAATGCTGGTGACCTCCCCTTTGAAATAGCTAAATTGCAGCATTATGTATTGCTCTTGCTTAAATGGGCTCATTATAGAATGTTTAGCATAAAAGTGCAAACCCAAAACAATTCTGGCATTTGAGATTTGGTAGGGTGCACAACAGACCTGTGCTGAGGTCGGCTCTGGGAATGAGGAGGCGCTGCTGGAGCCTTCTTGAGTGCCTGTCTTGTGGCCCAGAGGGCAGGTGGGGTGTAGAGCTTGGGAGGACTGTGCCAGTGACTCCCTCCTGGTCTTGGGTCACTGGATGGCAACCTGGTGGCCTATGGATTGGGCCTGTTTCCCATTTACATTTTCTTGATTTTCCTCTGACCCCCTAAGGCCCTGCTTTGCACTCACTGACCGTAACTATTATTGATGTGTTTCCCCTCGGAAGACCTGTGACCTCTCAGAAAGGTTCTCTAGAGACTGTTTCATAACCTGGCATGTGGGGGAGACCCTAAAGCCTGCTGGGCGCTCTGCACCTGCCTCGCTGCAGACAGAGGTGGCTGGTGGTTCTCTTTACCTGAAATGTGCTTCTGGCATTCAGCCTTCTATGAGGGGTTGGTCCCTGTTTTCAGAACCTGAATCTGTTAGTGTTTTACCGAGGGCAGGTTTTCTTTGCAGTCTCACCCCATAGACTCATTGTGAGTACACTGGGTGTTCTGCTGTGAGCCGACAAAGATGGGGGCCTGGGGGGGATGCTGTATGAGATGCCTCGGGAACAGGGGCTGTTCAAAGAGTTCATGCCGCTCTCCCCCAAATCAGGGCCCTACTGGCCCACTAATTCTGTGGTCTTTTTAGTCATATAGAAGCTCCTCCTGTTCTGTGGAAATCCCCACCCAGCCTCAAAAATGTGCATCTGTGCTCCGAGAGTAAATGAGGTAGAAGCAGCCTGGGCCTCCAGAGATGGCCCCAGACTTGGTGGGGCCTGGAGACATTGAAGATGAGCTGCAAACACAGCTCTTGTGGGTGATGAGGAGGGAGCTGCTGCCCTTCTTTTTAAGTCTTGTTGCCTCTCTTATTTTTTTCTTTGTGCCGCTCCTTGTTTCAGCAACGCTTTGAGATGTGGTGGGCAGTAGACCCCCATCTCACCAGGGGACTCGCCACCACTGGACCCTCCACACACAGCCTACACCTCCATGGGCAGCCAGGGCGCCTCTGGCCCCAGTTTGAGACTTTCTTCCTTCTTCTGTGTAGAAAGGGAAAGCTGCAGCTCAACAGGAACTTAAATTCCTGTGGTGGAGGGAGAGCCCGGCCACCCAGAGTGGTGTGGATTCAAGACTTGCCTATGGCTGGGAGAGGAAGACATTTCTTCTCTTCTTGCTCTGCCCTTGGGAAAACAGCCAAGCCTGCCTTCTCCAGGGACACTCCTGCACCACCCAGGGCATGCTTCACAGAGCATTGCTGGGTTTAGCCCCTTCAGGACTCACGAAGAGGCCTCATGGGGTGTTTGCTGAGGAAGGTTTTGTAAGAGAAAACCCTGGAGATACCCCGTGTCTCTAAAACAATTCTTAGGTAAGCTGTGTTACATCTCCGCACACAAGAGCGCAAGTGCATATAGTCATTTTTTTAAATGAAGAAGGCATGGAATGATCTCTCAGATGTGGTGTATTTTTTAAATGTTGTAAAATAATATGTATGGTGTTACACTTACGTAAAAACATGCATATCTATGTGTGTTATGTATGTACACACATCGGTGCATCTGTCCACCTTATAGACTTGGGAATAATTTCAAACCTATACTCCAAGCAGGGTTTACCTCTGGGAGTGGGGTTAGGCTTTTGTTTTGCTTTGATTTTTTTGTTTTTGTTTTTGTTTTACTTTATATACTTTTAATTGCTTGAATTGGTTACAACTAAAGGTAAAATAGAAGAAATGGAGGATTTGTTCATGATTTGCAGAGGTGGTGGGGGAGGGGGGCATTGTTCATAAGCAGGGCAACAGGGAGAGCTTGGGGTGGGGGAGCATCAGCATCGGGGATGTGTGGGTGTGGTAGGTTGTGCGTTCGGGGTCCCCTAGACACTCCTCACCCTCCTCACCCCAGTTCCTCTACTTCTTTCGCATACTGAATTTTGCCACTTGTCTTTCTTACTGTTATGTTCTCCTGTCCATTTACTTGTGGCTTATCAGAAATTAGCATTGGCAAATACCAGTACTTGAGTACAGCTTACCACAGCTGGCTGTTGTCTACAAAAGGATGCGGCTCCCAGCTCGGGTTGGGGACTCACCTTGGATGAGAAGCTTGACAGAGGTTGGGTTAGGAAGGTTATTTCATTTTCTGATTTATCCTTGATGTTTTTACATGTGTATCTGTGTTTCTTGATGTTGTCTCTGTCATCATCTCAAAGCAGTCTGGGGTGGGGGCAGGTTCCCAGCTCCACCTCTCCTTGCCCTTTCTCCGCTTCCCCACACTCCTGCCGAAGTGCACACATAATTTGATGAGTGGATAGGGCAGGCTTGTTATCCTTTTACTCCTACATCCAACCTGAGGCCATGAGCTTATATACTCATCCTCAGAGTGGATGCTGGCAGTGTTTACACCTGATCAGCAGGTGTTCAATCAGGAGCTCAGGGGAGGCAGTTCACCTTGTAAGACCACTGTGAAACATCACAATGAAGATTCTATTCAGTCAGTTTTTTTACTGTCATCGATTCTGTTGTTTTCCTGAGTAAGATGATACTCTGGGGTTGGGGGGTTGATGTGAACAGATTCCAATCCCTCATACAGTTTTTGTGCTGATGCAGACCTCCCTACCCATGTGGGTGATGGTGGTCCAATACTGTCAACATTAAAAATTATATCTTTGGGGCACCTGGGTGGCTCAACGGGTTAAGGGTCTGACTGTTGATTTCGGCTCAGGTCATGATCTCAGGGTCGTGAGATCAAGCCCCCATCAGGCTCCGCACTGGGTGTGGAGCCTGCTCAGGATTCTCTCTCTCTCCCTCTCCCTCTGCGTCCCCCCCACCATGTGCGCACTCTCTCTCTCCTCCTCTCTCTCTCTCGAAGAATTACATCTTTAATTGGCGTTTACTCTGCTGTCTCTTATTAGTAAGAGATGTTGCTTTACTGTTTCATGCTTACGAATTATTTGATTATTAATGAGCTTGATCTGTTTTCCATGTTTGTTTACTTATCATATTTCCTCTTTTCAGAATTGTCCTTGATCTGTGTTGACACACATGAAATCACCATTGTTATTGGTCAGAATGGTCTAGTATTGACAATTTCATATGGTTCATCCTCATACCTTTAGGATTTCAGTGTTTTTTCATGATTTAGCAACATTTTTCTAGTTATGAAGTGTTTCACTTTCTATAAAAATTTTTTAGAAATATAAAAATATAGAAAATGGAAATGTGTAATACCACAAAATCATCTCTTACCATTTTGATGTAGTTTTTTCCTCCTTCCTTCCTTCCCTCCATCCCTCCCCCCTTCCTTCCTTCCTTCCTTTTTTCTTTCTGTCTTGTCTTGTCCTTTCTTTCTTCTTCCTTTCTTAATTTCTCCCACATAATTGCAAAAGTCTCTTGATAGAACTGTTCTAGGCATAAGTGAATTATTATAATGTGAACTGACTAGTATGTATACTAGCTATTATTATTATAAAGATTTTATCCCGGCTTGATATTTTATCAACTGCACTTCTTCAAAAATGTGTTTTTTTAAGCCTATTGAATCTTCTGCCATATAATTATGCTGTAACTAGCAAGCTCTTTTCTTTCATTGGACATTTAATTTTCTTTTATGTCTTTGTAGCTCTGTTTCCTGAAGCATAGGAATTTCTTTTTTTTTTTTTAAGATTTTATTTATTTATTTGAGAGAGAGTGAGAGAGAGAGCCCAAGAGGGGGTAGGGTCAGAGGGAGAAGCAGACTCCCTGCTGAGCAGGGAGCCCGATGTGGGACTCGATCCCAGGACTCCAGGATCATGACCTGAGCCGAAGGCAGTCGCTTAACCAGCTGAGTCACCCAGGCATCCAGCATTGGAATTTCTGTAAGGAATTTGGTGTACGTAAAATAAGTAGGTCAGATAATACAATTATTTAAAAATTTCTTGGTAAATGTGACAAGTCTAGAATGTCTGGAAGACATGTGAGAGCCCCCTTCTTATGATAGCCTCAGCTAGCTTTGGGGTGTTTTTATTCTAGATAATTTGACCATGACAAATAGTATATTTATTTTCATTTGGACATTTTGAGATGGTTATTAGCCATATATTTTTCTTCTTTTGTGATTAATCAGCATCCTCTGTATATTTTATTGGAGTTTCCATTTTTTATTATAAGTACTTTTATTTGGTAAAATAATATTTGGAACTAAATACTAATAAGGGAAAAAATACCATACTTGTATATGTATAGAGAAAAATTAGAATGTATATTTGCCAAAATACTCATAATGATTTTTTTAGGTGGTGAAATTTTGGATGATTTTAGTTCTCTATTATATATTTACCTCTTTTTTCTGATTATTCTGTAATAGATAATTTTTTTATTTTTTAAAAGAGATTTATTTATTTATTTATTTAAAAAAGAGAGAGAGAGAGGGCAGGTGGAGGGGCAGAGGACAGGCAGATTCTCCACTGAGCAGGGAGCCTACCCTGCTCTATCCCAGGACCCTGAGATCATGACCTGAGTTGAAATCAAGAGTTGAACGCTTAACCGACTGACCACTCAGGCGCCCCTATAATAGATATTTTTCTTACAGAACAAAGAAATTCTGGCTTTTGTGAACAAGGACTGGCTCCCTGATCACTTGCTTCTGGCCTCTCGTACAAAGGTCCCACATAAACCTGAGTGTGCCCTGGATGCCTTTTCCCACGTGCCCAGCCCCTGCCCGGTGCCTGGGCCACCTTGCCAGGGGTCATCAGAGCGGTGGAAGAACATGTGAGGTGTGGCAATAAAAGTGTACTCTTGTTTTTCTTTTTTTCCCCTGGCATGTCCAGCTTGCTATGGGATGGAAGAAGAAGAGAACCACTATGTTTCACAGCTCAGGGAAGTCTACAGCAGCTGTGACACCACAGGGACAGGCTTTCTGGACCGGGAGGGACTGACCCAGCTCTGCCTCAAGCTTCAGTTGGAAAAGCAGCTGCCCATCCTTCTGCAAACACTTCTTGGAAATGATCACTTCGCCAGGGTGGGTATTTCACTTCATTCTTTTTTTTTTTTTTTTTAAGATTTTATTTATTTATTTGAGAGAGAGAGAGCACATGAGAGGGGGGAGGGGCAGAGGGAGAAGCAGACTCCCTGCTGAGCAGGGAGCCCGATGCGGGACTCGATCCTGGGACTCCAGGATCATGACCTGAGCCAAAGGCAGTCGCTTAACCAACTGAGCCACCCAGGCGCCCTTGACTTCATTCTTATAAAGAAAAGCACAGAGTACTGTAGTTAGCTGCAGGCATTTGAGAAATATTAGCGGACTAAGGACACATGCCAGAGAAGAGTTACTAGGAACTGGAACACTGCTTTTCCTTCTGGGGACCGCCTATATTGAAGCAAGAGTTTCCTTCAGATTACTCTTTTTTTGAAAGCATAGTAACTTCCAGAAGTTTGGTTTGGTTTGTTTTTTCCAGAAAGATGTTTGAGAGATTTGTCGAGAGTGGGGTGGAGGGTTGGTTTGGGTGGGTGGTAGGTGGTTCACAAAAACACAAGGGTCTGTGGGCAGCTGACACACTGAGAGACAGGCACCTTCCAAGTATCTTGAAGGCAGATTGTCTAGTAAAATTACACAGCTTTAAATTCATTCTAGCAGCTGGACAAAGCAACTGCACACCACTGTTGCAGGAACAAAGGATACCTATGTTCAGAGGTGTCCTCTGATTTTATCTAGGCCAGATAGAAAGTACTCTATCTCTGCTCCTTTTCACTAGGGAATTGAAGGTCATCTATAATGGTGATCTAGAACCTAGACCACAACTTGCTTTCCTGACAGAAACACTGAAAAGCACCTCCCACCTTGTCCCTACTTCTTAAATGTGTCTAGATGTTAACTTGTATGATAAAAACAGTGCTGGCCATCTTAACTTTGAAGGAAGAGCTTTTTTTTCCTCTCCCCCACAGAAATCAATAGAACTATTTTTATTTCAAATGAGAAAAAAAATCCAGCCTGAAGATTTTCCTGAATTGGCTTTTGGACAAAAAGAAATGAAGAAAAACAAGAAGAAAACCCTCACTGCTGACACAGGGAGAAAGTCCTGATGAAATGTACCTCTTGTTACTTCCCAAAGCATCAACTGCCCTGTGTTCCCAATGCCTATCAGTAGGATACTGTTAGTCCTCTTACAGAGCTCTGCCTCAATTAATCTGACCACACCCATTCTGTTTCTTTTTATTCTATGCCTGCCTCTTGGTTTTTTGTGTGTTTTTTTTTTATGGACTTAAGAATCAGGTGTATTTTTTAAAATATATTTTTTAAGATTTTATTTATTTATTTGAGAGAGAGTGAGAGCTAGAGAGAGAAAGAGAGCACAGACAGAGGGAGAGGGAGAGAAGCAGACTCCTCACTGAGCAGGGAGCCCGATGCAGGACTCCATCCCAGGACCCTGGGATCGTGACCTGAGCCGAAGGCAGACACTTAACTGACTGAGCCACCCAGGCACCCCAGGTGTATTTTTTTTTTTGAAAGATTTATTTATTTATTTGAGAGGGGAGGGGCAGAGGGAGAGGGAAAGAGAGTCAAGCAGACTCTGTGCTCAGCACAGAGCTGATGCAGGGTTTGATTTCATGCCCCTGAGATCAGGATCTGAGCTGAAACCAAGAGTTGGTCACTTAACTGACATTGTAGCACCCAGGAGCCCCAAATCAGGGGTATTTTTAATAATGTTCTAGCGCCTCTTTTTTTTTTTTTTAAGATTTAGTTTTTTATTTGAGGAAAAGAGAGCACGATTTGAGGGGAAGAGCAGAGGGAGAGGGACAGACAGACCGCATGCCAAGCATAGACTCCCAACACAGGGACCCTGAGATCATGACCTGAGCTGAAATCAAGAGTTGGACAGCCAACTCACTGAGCCACCCAGGTGCCCCGATAATGTTCTCGCCCCTCTTGATATCACCTAGAATTGTATTTGGGACCCAGAGGAGCAAAAAGCACATTTATGAAAATCAACACTCTGGTTATTCAGTATAAACATGATCTGGTTTTCTTAATTATTTTTGACAGTTGAGAAAATTCAAAACCAAAAGAATAACTTTTGGGTTCACATTCAGATGGCAGGTTCTGCTGATTGAACAAATCATATCATTCCCGAGCCTTGCCCCACTTTATGTTTTGTATGTGCAGAAGTGGTATAACATTTATGTATTTATTTTTTATTAACATATAATGTATTATTTGTTTCAGGGGTACAGATCTGTGATTCATTGGTCTTACACAATACACAGAACTCACCACAACACATACCCTCCCCAATGTCCATCACCCAGCCACCCCATCCCCCCCCTCCCCTCCAGCAACCGTAGTATAACTTTTAGAAACATCAAATTGGAGCACCTGAGTGGCTCAATTGGTTGAGCATCTGCCTTTGGCTCAGGTAATGATCCCAGGGTCCTGGGATTGAGCCCTCCTTGGGCTCCCTGCTCAGCAGGAGTCTGCCTCTCCCCCCAGCTTGTGCTCTCTCTCTCTCTCTCAAATAAATAAATAAAATCTTTAAAAAAAAAATAGAAACATCAAATTATGATAGAAAAAAAGGTTAGTATTGGAACTTCAGTAAAGAGAAAAATCAACTTGGGTTTGAGATTTCTGGCCTCCCTCACATCACATATATCCCAAAAAACAGTTCCTCTGAGTTGTAATCCTTCTGGGAGCCTGGAAGTTTCTCCACACTTTTATGGGGAGGTATGTTAGAAGGAGAGACAGACACTCATAAGCAATGACAGGAGCCTGACCTTTTCTGATTAACAATGGCTTGTGGCAAAGCTCTGCACATGTTCATCCATCTTTCTGTCTATCCCAACTCCATTCTCTTACAGCCATGATTTATGTTTCCAAAAAACAAGTCAGGTATTGGGTAAATTAAGAAACAGCTCTGCTTCCATTAGTGCTCTTGAGTCTGACCTGAAGTTGTCTCTCTTTCCCTCTCTGTAACATTTCAAGAGCAGTGCCCACAGCAGCTGATGCCTCTAGGGGCCTGCTTTTGTCTCCCTCCACCCCATACTTTTACACTACCTCCTCTGTGATGGGGGTCGTGGTGGATTATTTCTGCTTTCAGAGTTTTTACTGCTCCTTTGCTTCATCCCATAGACAGGGCATCGCTCACACAGCCAGCATATAGGTGAAACATTCTGTAGATGTTTTAGGGGAACCTGGTGTCAAGCCAGAAATATCCAGATAGTTGTTACCATTTTCTACAACAGAAACCAAATGGTGGAGATTTCAGGAGTCTTCAGAGAAAATCAAGAGAAATCCTTTATCCAGGAGAATTGATTGGATTTTCAGTTCAAATATCACACATCGTTTCCTTGTAGTAACTAACATATATGACATCATGTAAATGTTAGTCATTGATACTTCAATCCAGGTAAAAAATGAAGAACAATATTATAAACAATATTAATTTGAATTAGCAAGGTAATGTTTTAATTAATGTGTTGAGGGCATGCTCATTTTTAATTCCTATTTCCTGTTAAAGAAACATTACCAAGGTCTGGTTTCAAGCCAGAAATTAATGTGGCCTAAGATTCCTGTGGAGTGTGGGAAATTTCCATGTGCATTTTATGTATGTTCTCTTGTTTCTTTATCAGTGGCAAGGATCTTAGCTTTAGTATTTTAAATTTGGTCAGAAAGAGAATTTTACTCTCAAAAAATAATTATTTCTTAAATTGAAATATAGTTGACATACAATGTTAACAGTAGTTTTAGGTATACAACATAGTGGTTAGACAAGTGTATATGTTATGCTGTGCTCACCACAGGTGTAACTGCCATCTGTCACCATACTTTACTACAATATCGTCGATTATATTCTCTATGCTGTGCCTTTTATCCTCATGACTTATTCATTCCATAACTGGAAACCTATATCTCCCACTCCCCTTCAACATTTTGTCCATCCCCCTAATACCTCCTCTTTGGCAACCATCAATTTGTCCTCTGTATTTTGGGGCTGTTTTTGCTTTTTATTTGTTTATTCGTTTATTTTTTAGATTCTATTTTTTAGATGACCATGAGTGAAATCCTATGGCATTTGTCTTTCTGTGACTTATTTTAGCATAATACCCTCTGTGTCCATCCATGTTATCACAGATGACAAGATCTCATCCTTTCTTATGACCGAGCAGTATTCCTTTGTATACATATACCACATCTTCCTTATCCATTCATCTCTTGACAGGCACTTGGGCTGCTTCTGTATCTTTGCTATTGTAAATAATGCTTCAATAAACATAGGGGTGCATATACTTGAAAAAATAATTCTTAACGTAGTGTTACTGAAAATAATTTTAAAGTTGAAAATGATTGTCAAAGGGTCTAGCCTCTCTTTGTGATGAGTGAGTCTGAGATTATACAGAGATGATGGTATGTCCTTTTTGGTGAAGCACCTGAGTATTATGAGTTTGTTCATCCCCCTTTCTTGAGCTACAAAGGAAGAAAACACAGAAACACAAGCACAGTCAGAATAGTATCAGATAGGGGCACCTGGGGGCTCAGTTGGTTAAGCCTCTGCCTTTGGCTCAGGTCATGACCCCAGGGCCCTGGGATTGAGCCCCACGGCAGGCTCCCTGCTCAGCAGGGGGTCTGCTTCTCCCTCTCCCTCTTCTCCTGCCCCTTCCCCCACTCATGCTCTCTCTCACTATCTCTGTCTCTCTCGCTCTCAAATAAATAAAATCTTTTAAGAAAAAAAAAGAATAGTATCAGATAAAATGTCAACACACTTGGCCATCAGATCCCACTACTGTTTGATGGTTGGAAGAAAGTCAGCTGATAAGTATTACCAAGGACACAAAAGAAATCAGAGATTAAATCAAGCAAAATTGTCATTTCCTTTTGCTTCCATGTATTCAACAAGTATTTTTTAGAAGAGATTTCATTTATTTATTTGTCAGAGAGAGAGAGCACTAGCAGGGGGAGTGGCAGGCAGAGGGAGAAGCAGGCTCCCCACCAAGCAGGGAGCCCCATGCGGGGCTCAGTTCCAGGACCCCAGGATCATGACCTGAGCTGAAAGCAGACACTCAACTGACTGAGCCACTCGGGCGTCCTTTCAACAAGTATTTTTGAGCACTTAGTATGTGCTCTGCAATATGCAGAAGCTAGGATGTGATCATCAAAGAAATATAATGTCTATCTTCATATGAAATGAAATCTATGCAAGATATTCATTCTAGTATTGATTCAAATAGCAAAAGATTGGAAACAGCCTTTTAAATATGAGATTGGTTAAATAAATTCTGATAGATCCATCTGATGAAATTTATGCAGTCCTAAAAAAATATGAACAGGCTTCAGACATTCTGGTAGTGGCAGGATAGCAAACACAGGCCAACGTTCCAGGGAGGGCTACTAAAAAAGCTGAACAAAATCATAAAATCAAAGATCTTGAAAATGGTAAAGAGCAAATAAGTCAGTGAAGAATTACCAGCCTAAAAATCTGTAAGTCACACACTGAGAGAGGTTCAGCCCAGCACACAAACCCCATTAGTGCTGAGAAACTGTAAAATTGATGTGGTCTTTGGGACCTCAGAGGGCCAGGAAAATCTATGTCAAAACACAGGTTCAGGGGCGCCTGGGTGGCTCAGTCAGTTAGGTGTCTGCCTTCAGCTCAGGTCATGATCCTGGAGTCCTGGGATCGAGTCCCACTTCAGGCTCCCTGTTGGTGGGGAGTCGGCTTCTCCCTTTCCTCCCTGCTTGTGCTCTCTCTCGCTATCTCTCTCTCTCACCCAAATAAAAAAAAAAAGTTAAAAACAAAACAAAACACAGGTTCACCCAAGGTAGAGAACCTAATAAACTAGCCCCCAATTTAAGGAAGGATCTGAATCAGCCATTGTGCTTTTTGCTGTCTGGGCTTGTCTCCTCTCAGTGGTCTAGATAAACCTCATTTAGCTGAAGGTGGTCCTGCCCACAAAAATAAACAAATGCACAAATAATCCAGTGTCAGGTCATGATAACATGTGTATCCCAGGCAAACAGCTGTATTTAGTGCTCAGTGGCGGCAACAGAGGTTTGCTCATTCAAATTCTGTGCCAGATTTGAGAAGCATGCCTGGCTCTATAGCCCCAAATCTGCTTTTCCAGCATTTACTGGTAACCTTTTGACCTACGTAAGCCCTTCTGTTGACTTCTTTCTGTGTGACTTACTGAAGCATCCATAGAGAACAGAGCACATAGCAGAAGTGTACACTCAAGTGACTATCCCATACTGAGCACACCTGGGTGACAAGCATCTGGAATCCCTCCACATGTGTCTTGCAGTCCTCTCTCACTAAGGCCACTACTGTCCTGACACTAACACCATAGATTTGCCTTGCCTGTTTCTGATCTTTGTAGAATGGAAATACACAGTACATGCTCACTACATAGTCTCTGACTTCCTTTACTCTATATTATATCTGTGAAATACAGTTCATCTTGTCTCGTTGTTTTTTTTCCATCATATTTCATTTTTTGACTGTATCATAGTTTACCCATTCCATTTATGAACATCTTGGTCATTTCTACTATTCTTCTAATAAATTATCTTCTTGAAAAATGTCTATTGAAAGTGAAATAAAAACATTTCAGACAAACTACAGAGTTTAGCACCAGCATACTTAAGAAAAATGAGATTCTAAACCATGCACTTCAAATAGATAGAAAATTATCCTAGACAGAAGGTCAGAAATACAAGAACAAATGAAAAACAAAGCAGTAAATATTTGGATAATTCTTAATGAACATTGATTATATAAAATAAAAAATAATATTTCATGGGGAGTTAAAATAGAGCAAGTTAAAATATATGGCAACTCATAAGAAAGGCATGAAAGTCAGGAGTATAGTAGATGAAATGAAAGTGTTACATAGGCTTCCTGTTGTCACGGAAGAGGGTAAAAGTATCGACTAATAGTAAACTTTGATAAGCTGAGGATGTGTGATGTAATTTTTAGGATAAATGGTCAGAGAAAGGAAATAGACTATATAACTTCTAACTTAGTAAAGGGAAAATGAAGTCCTAAAAAAAAAAGTCAGTAAATCCAAAGAGAGGAAACCAGGGAGAAAACACAAGCAGGTCAGATTGAAAGCACACAATAGAATAGTAGATTTAAATCCAAATATATCAGTAATTATATTAAATGTAAATAGACTAAATAGTTAAAAGATAAAGCTTTTATAAACGACACCTGAAATATATGGATACAAAAAGTTGACATTATTAAAATTTGGTGAAAAGATGTATCATGTAGATACTAACCAAAAGAAAGCTAGTCTTTATGGTAAAAAACATTACCAAAGTAAAGAGGGTTAGCATTTTATAGTCATAAAAGATTCAGTTCACTAAGAGGATTTAAATGCATATTCTATGACCCAGCAAGCCCGTTCATCGACATATACTCCTAAGAAACTCCTAAGGACACATGTGCAATACTGTTCAAAGCCTTTTTTAAAAAAAATAACCAGCCACTGGAAACAATGGGAATATTCATCAGTAGAATGGATTAATAAATTTTTGCACAAACAATGGAATACTATACAGCAGAGAAAATGCATTTTGCATAGCAGCTTGAATGAACATTACAGAAGTAATATTGAGTCTAAGAAGCAGGACATAAAAGAATATATGCATATGATTCCATTTAGATCAAATTTGAAAAGAGGCAAAACTAAACCATATTGTTCGGGGATGCATACAAATGAGGAAAAAAGCAAAGATGTTAAAACCATAAAAGAGTGGGGGGCAGGGAATTTAATAGGAAAGGAGCCGTGGTGGAGGAGCCTCTAAGGTGCTGATATTATTCCATTTTTTGGTGGGGTGGTGATAGCCTGGATATTTTCTTTTTGTATATTAATGTTTTATGATCATCAGATCCCCATTTTGGGTACATTTTATAATTATTAAAATTGGTAATAGGAGTTTTTTGGTGATTAGTTTGTGACTCACTTTTACTTGTTATATTCTTCTATTTAAAAAAAATCTTAAGTGAGGGGCGCCTGGGTGGCTCAGTTGGTTAAGCGACTGCCTTCGGCTCAGGTCATGATCCTGGAGTCCCAGGCTCGAGTCCCGCATCGGGCTCCCTGCTCGGCGGGGAGTCTGCTTCTCCCTCTGACCTGCTTCCCTCTCGTGCTGTCTCTCATTCTCTCTCTCAAATAAATAAATAAAATCTTTAAAAAAAAAAAAAATCTTAAGTGAGTATTAGAACAAATGAACGTTCTCAGAGCTAAAGGCAACAATAAGATGTTTCCATCTGAGAATAAAAACAAAAGGCTAAGGTATTATATAGTGATCTGTTGAAAGTAGTGCTGACCTCTCTTTTCTTATATTTACCAGGTTAACTTTGAGGAATTTAAAGAAGGTTTTGTGGCAGTGTTGTCATCAACTGCTGGTGTTGGCCCCTCAGACGAAGACAGTAGTTCTTTGGAATCAAGTAAGAGGATTTCCTCCTCTCACTTCAAGTGTTTGTTTTTTTCATTATTTGTTACCTTCTAGAGTGTGATATTCAGATTGAAGAATATAGCAGGTCTGAGAACTAAATTGTAACTCCACTCCCTTACTGCCAACCTGTGTGGACTGGGACAAGACTTTGGGTTTTTTCTTCTTTGTTTCCTTATTTGTGCGATAGTGTTGGAAAGGAGAAGCTCTATTGTTTTCCTTTACACATAGCACTTCTGTGTGTATGTGTGGTAGTCTGTCTCACACCAGGCAATTCTCCAACACTATCTGGGTGTCCTACATTATAACTCAATCCTGACATTGCCTACCTGCAGATAGCCTCAGATTCCACAGGCCAAGGGCTCAATCCCACAATATGGTCCTCACTTCAGATGACAGTCACAGATCCAGGTTGTCATCTATGCTTCTGATTGGCTATAAATCAGAGGTTCCCACAACCCCTTCCTCAGGTTCAATTAATTTGCAAGAGGAGCTCCTAGAACTCAGGAAAACAGTTTACTTATCCGATCACCAGTTTATTATAAAAGGATGTAAGTCAGGAACAGCCAGGTGGAAGAGGGCACAGGGCAAGGTATGGGGAAAGGATACAGAGCTTGCATGCCCTCTCCAGGCAAGCCATTCTCTCCCAGTCTCTGTGTGTTCACCCCAGAAGCTCTCTGAACCTCATCCTGATGGGTTTTTATTCAGGCTTCATTACATAGGCATGTTTGATCAAATCATTGGCTATTGGTGATTGAATTCAACCTCCAGCCCCTCCCCCTTCCCTGGAGGTCAGAGTGGGGCTGAACATTCTAACCCTCTAATCACATGGTTGGGTCCCTGGGCAACCAGCCCCCATCCTTAAGGGCTTTCCAGAAGCCACCTCATTAACATAAACTCAGGTTTGGTTGCTCTTGTCACTTAGGACATTCCAAGGGTTTTAGGAGCTCTGGGCCAGGGATGAGATGAAGAACAAATACATATTTATTATAAATCACAGTATCACAAGTGTCAAATAATATTGTGTGCTGTCCTTAAGGCATGGGCTGTTGACAAGATAAAGTAGATGTAGAGCAGTTGAAGTTTCAAGAATTGAAAACTCAGTGTAGACACAGGTGTATCTAGACCACTGAGGTTGGCAGAGCACGTAGGATGCCAGCAGCCAGAGACAGACCTCACTGTTTCTTTTGTCAGACAGTAGTGGTGTGTTGTGCTGATAGGCCTAATTAGACTCCTGTTATGGGAATGGGGCTGGTGGGACAAAGATAGCATGTCCAAGTGGAAGTGGTGTCCTGAGGGGGGATGCCCCCTGGCTTTGGTAATGGTCAGGAGGTGGAGGGCAGGTTTGGAGAGCGGTCCACTCAGGGGCATGTAGATTGTGGGGTGAGGGTCAGAAGATGCTGACAGACGTCATTAGTGCCTGCTCCATCAGACTTGAGGCCGTGAGTGGCAGCGATGCTTCAGACCCATCTTGGCTATCTCTGATGAGTATTGGGCAGGTGAGTGAAAGGGGGCATGGGGCAGTGTGTTTGAGGTTGGAGGCATGGTATTGATGAGCAGACCGAGGAGGGAGCTCTTTCCCTCAGCCCATGGCAGGCTCCTGCCATGGCAGATCCTTGGTCTGGAATAGGTGCATGACTGGATAACAGGGATGACAGTGTGGGAGGGCTTGGGGCAGGGGAGTGGGAAGTGTAAAGGATGAGAGCTCACATCGACTGTCTTCAGTGTGCCCAGACTCCCAGAGATCTGTAGCATTATCATGCCCATTATTCAGATGAAGAACTGAGGCTTGATGTGTGAAGGGATTTATTTGTCCAAGATCCCACAGCTAGTAAGCGAGAACCAAGATTCGAGTCACAATTTTCCAGTTGCAAGCCCTGGGCCCTTGTATATGCGGTGTAGACAGAACCTGCTCCTTCCATTGGCTGCCCAAGGCTGCAAGAGCTCCTGGGTATAGTGCAGAGAACCCTGCCATGGGAGGAGCAGACCAGCAGTGGGAACCATTTATAGGATCCTCAGGGCATTCGCTAGTTGCTTTGTCTGACACTTTTCTCTAAGAGGTGAAGATGGCCACTGGCCTTTACGAATACAGGATTTGGGAATATGGCCTGTGATGGTGTACAAGAATGGAAAGGTGCCCAGTGTCCCTGACCCTGCACGTGCCCCTCCCACACTAGAGAATGCATGGAGCTTCTAAACGTAAAACTGGATCTGTGGACAAGCACTAAAAAAAGCCAAAAACAAAAACAAAAAACAAAAAAAAGAGAGAAAGGAGCTATTCTAGGACTTGTGGGTTTTTTCTACCTGTTCTGTTTTTTTGTTGTTTTCTTTGGCTTTTTCTTTTCTTTTGGATTTCAAAGCTTTCCTCAATTAAATGGTCATATGTGTGGCCTGAGACTCCTCCCCTCGTGCCAGCCTAAGGGGTGGGGGGCATCAGAGTCCCTCTGAGTTTTCTGTGCTTGGTTTCCTAAATGTGCCCCAGCTTCCCACTTCCCACCTGATAGGACTTTACCTCTTTCTAAACCACCTCAAGGTGGAAGATTCTTCCTCTGCCCACATTAACCAGCCTGCAGCCTCTCTGTAACCAGAAACCATGCTCAGATGCAAGAGCCTATATTCACTCGTCCTCACTTACCCTTTTGGCAGCTCTCTGGTGGGAGCCTTTTTCCGTGTTTGTAGCCTCCACCTTCTGAACACTGCTGGGTCTGCACACAGGTTCTGTTTTCTCTTTGCTGACTCAGACACTTTGCCCTCCTCTCCAGCACATCACATGCCTGTTGTCCCAGGGTGATTGGTATAGTGTCCATGATTACCTCCAAGTGTCCCAGTGAGGTGAGCAATGCTATATTCGCCCTGCATATTGTCAGCTGCCTTAAATGTCATGCTGTCACTTCACAGTCTGTCCATCCCACGTGGAACTTGGAGTCTTCCTCCCTTGACCCCAGTGTCTGTCTGCCACTGGTATCACTGTGCTTCCAATTGGCCAGGCTGTACCCAGCCCCCTCCTCTGATGTGGTCCCAAGGGCAGGGGCTGTGGCCTGGCCGTTTTTAGGTATGGAAGAAGGGAATGATGTGGTACTTGGCTTGAAGGAATGTGACACCTCTCAGTGAAATGCTGCTCAGTTTTCCTGGCCTGGCCTTACTTCACTGGACCCTTTGCCTTTTTCTCCAACTAGCCCATTCTGATTACTTTCCTCTGAACCTGTGTCCTGTCCTGGCTGCTACCCATAATGCCCTCCCCAGTCTCTCTCCTACCCACCCAAATTCCACACAGTGTCAGTGTCATTTCTTCTCTGTCTGAAAGGTCCCAGCTGCTCTGTACAGAAGTGGATAGGTCAGGAGGGAAGAAGGAAATGGAAGGGATTGTTAGGGTTTAAGGGATTCTCATGAATCCCAAACTAAAACCCATGCCTGCCTTTGCCCCAGACTTCAGACCTGCAAAGTTTCAGCTCCTGGGCTGTGTGTGAGGTCCACGCCCACAGTGCCCTGATGGTCCTGTCCAGATGGGGTCCTGAAGTGAGCAGGGTGGGAAGTGACCTTCTGGTCTCTAGAGCAGTATGTCGCTGGATTATTGGAGGTTTTTTTTCCTTTTTTCTAATAAAATGCTATTAGTATTAGTCTTCTATTAGATAAACAAGAAGTCATTTCTTAGTAGTAGTAGTCTTTTACTACATAAGCAAAAGCAAAATATGCTCAGAAAAATTTAAACAGGGAAACCCGGGAGGCTCAGTCGGTTAAGTGTCTGCCTTCAGCTCAGGTCATGATCCCAGCGTCCTGGGATCAAGTTCCGAGTTGGGCTCCCTGCTCCACAGGTCGTCTGCTTCTCCCTCTGCCTGCCGCTCCCCCTGCTTGTGCATGCGTGCTCGCGCATGCTCTCTCTCTCGAACAAATAAATAAAATCTTAAAAAAAAAAAGAAAGAAAGAAAGAAAAATTTAAACAGTACATAGAGTTTAGAGTAGGAAGTTACTGTCTCCCAGCCTGGGTTTCTCAGTCCCCTGCCTGACGATTAGGGAGAATAGATTGACCACTGTTAACTGTTCTCTCTGTTCCTCCAGACATTCTCTGTGTGCATCTGTAAAGGCTGCACTCCGCATCTTGAAATGTGTTGCAGCAGTGTGTGGGCCCCCCCACCAAACCTCCCATTTTCTTTCCAGCTGCCTCTCGTGCTGTCCCACCAAAGTACGTGAGCGGCTCTAAGTGGTACGGTCGCTGGAGCCGGCCCGAGCCCGAGCCGGGTGGCTCTGCAACAGGAGCCAAATGTTTACCAGAACAGCAGGCCCGGACCACTGGGAGAGGCCAACTCCGCCGCTCTGCATCTTTGGAAAGTGTGGAGGTGGGTCGGGTCCCCTTCCCCACCCCATTTCACTTAGTCATTGTGACATGACTACAAGAGGATATGAGGGGCAGGTGGGCATTTCTGGGCATCTCAAGTCACCAGAAGCATGGGTGCACATTGGGAAATGACATTTCGTTCTAAAGTATCTCTGGGTCTGATTGTCTGCAGGGAAGTTCTGGCCAGTGAGTGTACTCCTTCTGACATTGGGGCAGCGGAGAATTGGTATCCAAATCACTTGTTTCTTTCCCTCCCCTGCTTACCACCACCAGCTTTTCCCCAGCACTGGGAGAAGACTGGTTGTATGGTTTCATAGGAGTGAGGAAAGAAAGGGAAGATGCTTTTTTGATGCCCCTGCAAGGTTAGGAATTTGGAAGTACCAAGCCCACAGTCCCACCTGCCTTGAATACTTAGGATATACCAAGGCCCACACTTAAAATTTGGTGAAGATGTACCAGACACCTCCCGGGGCCTTGGGGGTTGATTCTAACCCCCCATGTCCCTGAGTTGTTCACTGCTGCTGGGGCAAACTCAGGAGATGGGCTGCTGGAGCCCAAAAGCGTTCATGTCAGGAAATATCCATGGGGCAGATCCACAGCTTTCAAGTTAACCATGGATTCCTTAGACCTGTTTCCAAGAATTTCAGAAGGTTCCTAGTTCCTGCTGTCTGTGATGTCCACTTTGTCAGGTGGGGCTTTATGGGGACTTATTTTTAGTAAGACAGCTCTGGGCTTTCACATTAATTTGTTTATATGTACAACATTTGTTGAGGCAAACATATCTACTTAAATCGTAGAGTCCCTTTGCTCAGGGATGTTCTATGCCTAGACAATACCAACAAACCCCAGGTGTTCACTTTTTTATCCTCTTTAACTTTGGTCCTCAGAGATGGAGGTCTGAGGAGTCTGCTCTGTCTGTACCATTCTGCGTGGTAAAACCATCTTGGATCCCTGGAACTAGAACATGAGAAAATGTTGTTTTAAGGTTGTTGGTTGGGGGGCGCCTGGGTGGCTCAGTTGGTTAAGCGACTGCCTTCGGCTCAGGTCATGATCCTGGAGTCCCGGGATCGAGTCCCGCATCGGGCTCCCTGCTCGGCAGGGAGTCTGCTTCTCCCTCTGACCCTCCTCCCTCTCATGCTCTCTGTCTCTCATTCACTCTGCCTCAAATAAATAAATAAAATCTTAAAAAAAAAAAAAAAAAGGTTGTTGGTTGGGCTGAATGCATTAGAAAAATGGGACACAGCACCTGCTCCCAGATTCCACTCTCATTTCATTGCCAGCTCTGAGGGCCTCTGAGTCTTGGTCAACTTGACATTCCTTCCAGGATCAGTCATGGGCCACACAGCACCTGTCAGAAGCGACTTTGATTTTGTAGTTGGCTGACTTGGCCACAAAAACCTGAGGTTTTTACTTGAGTCAAGTGTTTCTTGGTAACCTGCCCCCTGCAGTGTGCAGCTTGCAAAGGGCCCTGAGGTGTCAGGTACTTGCTGTGCATCATGCTGTCCCTAGAGCTCCTGGAGGGACAGAGAAAACCACTCTCCCTCCAACTGTTGGCTGAACTGATAAGGATGATAAGGGATGGGGTGCAGAGAGATGAGGACCATTAAGCTTGAGTCAAGATGATGTGGTGTGATGGCAAGTTGACCGTGCTCCACAGCCACTTCTCTCCAGCGCTGGTGTATGAAGCCAGCACCACAAGAAGCTGTTGATTGGGAAACATTTTTTCCCCTTTTAGGGTACAAGTGCTTGATTGTGTTTTTAGTGTGAACTACTGATGATTTGGGGTTTCTGTTGAGGAACTTCCTGTGTCCCTGTGTCTATACCGTAGCGCTTGGTCTGTCAGAGGGAGCTGCTCTGTGCTGGCGCCTCTCAGCCTGGACGCAGAGCCCACCTGCCAGTGTGGACTTTCCCTCAAGGAGCTTCATCTCACCATCTGTTGTTCCTCTTCCTCAGTCCCTGCCCAGCACCACAACATACCGTTCTGCTGTTCCTGGAGCTCTGTCCACTGCCACATACTCCAGGGAATTCATATCTTTCTCTTTTCATTTTCCCAGAGTCTCAAGTCAGACGAAGAAGCTGAAAGTGCTAAAGAACCTCAGAATGAGTTGTTTGAAGCACGAGGTAAAGCCACAGCTTCATGGTTGTGCTCCCTCCCTTTGACCAGTGCTTTAAAGTTCAAGGAGCTAGGTCATTGGTCAGTGAGCCAGCCGTGTGTAATTTCCTGGGAAGCATGCCGAGTGGGTGGTGTCCCTTGGGGGCCCCTACTCCAGGAAGAGCAGCCAGGCCATCACATACTAACTGCCTTAGCCTCAAAGTCTAAATTTAGGGTGGGAAAGGAAGGACTGGCCCAGAAGGTTGTGCATGGTGCAATTTGGGATCTTCACCCTTAGGTTCTTCCTAGCCTTGAACAGAAACCTTTCCAACAGATTAGAACTGACAGTAGTGCATGAAACTCACATCAGATCTCAGAGGATTGATTTACCTCTTCCACCATCCCTGAGAAAGAAACCCTCGTATCAGAGGTGCTTTTATGTTTTTACTTAGAAATTTCAGACTCTTTAAGCTAGAAGGGATCTCAAAGAAGGCATATTCCTCAGCCCAATACAGTGTTGTTCATGAGCACACAGCCAGTATGGACTAGCTGTGGAGGGGATGTCTGGCTTGAAGCATGGCTCATCAATGGATGGCTTCTCATGGCACCCCCAGCATTGGTCTGTGTTCTTCTACAAGTTGTTTCTCTGGCAAAGCTCAGAAACATAAGTTTCTAGAAAAAAAATTTTTTTAAACTAATCTGGCTTTGGGGTTTGTGTGTGTGTGTGTGTGTGTGTGTGTGTGTTGGGTTTTGTTTTGTTTTGTTGTGTGGTTTTTTTTTTTTTTTTTTGGTAAATACAAATAATGCAGCCCTCTTTTATGTGCTTTCAGTGGTCTGACTTCTGACTTTAGGAGTTTCCCTTCAGAGAAAGCTTTCCCCACATGGACCAGAGATTCCCCCCCACTGACATTTTATTATGAAAATTTGCAAACACAGAATGAAGATGAAAGAATCATACTGTGAAAAGCCTTGTACCAATCACCTAGATTCCACCTTTGATGCTTTGCTACTCAAGTGTGTCCATTGCCCTGTCCATCTGATTTCAGAGTACATTGCCAGCATTGGGGTGTTCCCCCCAGGTGCTTCCACCTGGAGCGTGGGGTTTACGTGTCACTCTCCCTGCTTCAGGCCAGCTGCCAGCTTGGGGTTCTGAGGCCTTCGGGTGCCTCCAGAAGCCCTGCAGCCCCTCCTTGGACACCCCTGAGAGCCGGGTTCGGGGCATCTGGGAAGAGCTGGGCGTTGGCAGTAGCGGCCACCTCAGCGAGCAGGAGCTGGCCATCGTCTGCCAGAGCATCGGGCTCCAGGGACTGGACAAGGAGGTGAGAGGGGCCAAGGCAGACCACACTGGAGGACGGGCTCCTTGTGATGGTCAGGTTGGTGTTGGGTCTGGAGAGTCCCTTCACCCTCCAGACACTGATGCAGTTGTATCACTTTCTGGTCTGAAGTCCTCTGATAACTCCCAGTGCTGCTGCTGAGGTCTGCACCCACGCAGGTCACAGGCGGCCTGCCTCACTGGCGTCTGAGCATCTTCACTCATGACCCTTCCTCTGCCTAGAGTGCCCTTTCCCCTTCCTGCGTTGCCCAGTTCTAGCACCCAGCCTAGATATCATGGCCCCTGAGGCAGGCTGTGCTCCCCAGGGGCTGTATTCACCCCTCCTTTCCTCTTGCAGGGCCCTAGGGGAGGTGGGTGGGCAGTGGTGATGGGGAAGCTCCCCCTTGGTAAAATCCTCCTTAGCCCTGCTGTCCTTGCTAGTTCCTGAACCGCTGGGGGCCCAGGGCACATTCCATATGTATGTCTTCCTCTTACCATCCAGGAAGTTCCTGGCATGGTAGACTGTGAATGGGTATTTGTAGAAATAGGAAGTACAGGTGGCATCCATTCACAGCAGGGTGGAAACTGAGCAGGCGTGGAGATGTCAGGCCAGAGCCAAGGGAGGTCAGGTGTGTCCCAGACAGTTTGAATTTGGTAAGGATGAGCAGACTGCCCAGCATGGGGAGGGAAGGCCTGGGTGGTGGTGGCCTCAGCACAGGTATGGCGGCTTTTGTCTAGGAACTGGAGGATCTGTTTAACAAACTGGATCAAGATGGAGACGGCAGAGTGAGTCTTGAGGAATTCCAGCTTGGCCTATTCAATCATGGGCCCACTTCACTTCCAGAATCTTCCACTCCTGTCAAACCGAGCATGTCCTGGTCTCATTACCAGGTAAAATGGGATGATTGAGCCTTGAACCACAGCAGTAACTGCTGTCACTCTCTGGCCTTCAGCATCTTCACAGACCTGGAAGTTGGGGGTGGGGTGGGGTATGTACATGTGTGTGTGTAAGTGGGAGGCCACGTGACTTAGATTCTAGAACCACACAGGTCTTGGGGCTGATCTGGCATTGCCCCTCCCTAGCTGTGTGTCCCTGATAGAGTTACTTGCCTTCTCTGAGCCTCAGGCTCTTCATATGTAAAATGGGTGCCTGCCTCCTGGGGATTTTATGAGGATTACATGGCAGTTCCTTGGTTGTGGGATAGGCTGCCTTCCAGGAGGAGAGCTCCTTCTCTCCTCCCTGTTGCGGTGCAGTGAGAGCATTCCAGATCTTCCCTAGGAGTAGCTCTCCAGGTACTCTACCCTATGCTCTCCCTGTCCTGTATTCCTAAATCTTCTCTCTCATACAAATACCAGGTCTCTGCAGATGGAGGAGAGCAGATTTAAAGCAGTTATTTAAATTGTGATCTGGTTTGGTGACCATTGGCTTAGCATTTGGTTTTACTCCATCCCAGGACAGCAAAACCTCCCTCTTCCACCACAGGACATGGTTCTCTGAAGAGTCTTGCTGACGTGGCTAATCCCACCGTGCACTATGGGTGGTGCAGGACCAGTAACGTTCTCTGCTAGGCGGGGTAATCTGAGAGTCCAGTTTCTGAATCTGAACCTGATGAGAATGGACAGAGAAGAAACTAGGAGCATTAAAGGAAAGTGTCAGACCATGTAAGGTCAGAGGCCACAATGAAGTCCCACTGGGTCATGCTTAGAGCCAGTGGAAGGAAGGTGCCTCCTCTGTGGTGGAGCTGCCCCTGTTCCTGTGTCCCAATGAGGAGGCACAGCGGACAGGGCTCTGAGCCGTTGGGCACAGGCATGAGGCCAGGCAGGACCCAACTCTAATCAGAGGCAGGGGCCCAGGGAAGCCCTGACTGCCCAGGAAGTGCCCTGAGCCAACACGGCTGCGGGTGGAGGGCATTGCATCCTGTGTATATGGGCTCTGGCGTGGCATGGTGCTGCTGGGCCTCAGGTATGTGGCCGGGCCTCAGGTATGTGGCCCAGCCCCCATCTTCTCCTGTTAGGCCACGATGCACCTGTCCTCAAGCTCACAGTCCACACAAAGGAAACAGGTGGGAGGGAGATAAGGGTGGTCAGGGTGCATTTAGGTATCTGAGCTTTTCCACACGGCCATGGCCACGTTCCCAACTATTTTGAGCTACCATCTCCCCTTTTGTAAACCGGGTCAAATGCCTACTTTGTAGGGCTGTAAAGTACCTAGCACAACTTAGTGAGCACCCAATTCCTGAGTTAAGTGTTTATGGAGAGGTAGGAACACAGCTGAGAACAGATGAGGGCATGTGGGCCTATGAGCACCTGCTGAGGACTGAGTGTGGGGAGAGGACGTGGGGGCTGGGAGGGGCCGTCAGAGCAGAGCCCTGGAAAGCACAGCCATGGAAGTGTTGGGGGAAAGTGTTTCAGGCAATGAGACAAACTTGGAATGTTTGGTAATAGCAAGAGACTCCTGTGAGGGGGGTTGAGAGGAGGCCAACAAGGAGGGGAGCCCTGGGAGTGTGGCAAGAACCCTGGCTGCCAGAAAGGAGCAGCTGCTCCTAATTCCTGTGGCCCCAGACAGCAAATGCTTGTTCTGCCTGGGGCAGAAAATCTTTTTTCTTCTTAATTTTTTTTTAAAGATTTTATTCATTTATTTGAGAGAGAGAATGAGTGGCAGGCGGGAGGGAGTGGGCAAAGGAAGAGGGGGGAAGCAGACTCCCCGCTGAGCAGGGAGCCCAATGCGGGGCTTGATCCCAGGATGCTGGGATCATGATCTGAGCCAAAGGCAGACACTTAACTGACTGAGCCACCCAGGCACCCCTACAGAAAATAACTGTGCTTGACGGATTCTTGTAGCCCCTAAGTCTAATAGGTCAGTTTTCTGGCCAAGAGATTTTTTTCCCATTCTTAAAACTCCCCAGTTCTGGGGCTCCTGGGTGGCTCAGTCAGTTGAGCATCTGACTCTTGATTTTTGGCTTAGGTCTGGATCTCAGGGTCATGAGATCGAGCCCCACATCAGCTCCACTCTCAGTGGGGAGTCTGCTTACCCCTGCCCCCTGCTCGCACTCTCTCTTTCTCTCTCTCTCTAATAAATAAATAAATCTTAAAAAAACAAAACCCAAACTCCCCAATTCTGTCGGCTGTGAGATGTGTTCCTGAGGCCTGGGGAGACCTGTGACTCTGGGCCATTCTACCTCCTCTCTTCCAGCCTGTCTTGGGTTGCTTTCCACAGGCTGGATCTTCTAGCATTGGCGGGTGCCTTCTCTGGCTCTCCCTTTGAGAGGCCAGGTGCACACCATTACTGAATTGGGGAGAGAGGTTAAAACTGCAGCAGCTTGTGCTGACTGGTCAGGCCACACGGGCACTCGGATGGGTTCCCGGGGCAAGGCCTCTGGTGGACGGTAGGAAAGCAGGCACCAGGGTCCTTTAGGAGGCAGTGGGCTGGGTGTCTGGAGCCCTGGGTTCAAATCTCCACTTCGTTGCCTGCAGAGCTGTGCAGTCTTGGGCACACCATGCGATGGTGCCATGCCTCTGTTTCCTAGTCTGGGAGACTGGGTTCTTATCCGGCCTCAACGAGACAGTGAAGGGCTGAGCACAGGCCGTTGAGGTCGGAAAAATCTTAAAAATGAACAGGAGGCCGAAGTGCTCACGGGTACCTTTGCTTTCCCTGCACACAGGTCCTGCAGGAGGGTAGCTGCCAGACCGCCACGACGTCGTCCCTGGTGTCTGTGTGCTCAGGCCTGCGTCTCTTGTGCAGCATTGATGATGGCACCGGATTTGCGTTTCCTGAACAGCTCATCGCCCTGTGGGCCCAGGAGGGGATTCAGAACGGCAGGGAGATCTTGCAGGTCTGGAACTGGTCCCTTCCCAGCTGCCCCGGGAGAGCATCCAGGTAGCATGGGGCCGGTGGGGGACCTTGGGGCCCTCTGCCCACAAAGGAGGCTGGACAGAGAATCCCAGACGCACAGGGCCTGAACTCTCTACAGAGAACCCCATGTAGGAAAGGCCTGTTGGAATCGCTTTATTTATTTTTTGCTATTAAAATATAGGCGATTTTGAGATGCCTGGGTGGCTCAGTCGGTTAAACATCTGCCTTCGGCTTGGGTCATGATCCCAGAGTCCTGGGATCAAGTTCCAAATTGGGCTCCTTGCTCAGCAAGGAGCCTGCTTCCCCCTCTGCCTGCTGTTCCCCCTGCTTATGCATGTGCTCTCCCTCTGACAAATAAATAAAAATCTTTAAAATATAGGAGATTTTAACTTAAAAAGAGAATAAATAAGCAGAAAAACAACAGTCTGAAACAAATCCATATGAAAGTAGGTTTTAGTATACTGACATTCTTTTCAGTGCATTGTTAGCCTTGGAGATGTTCTGCTTACCTGGATGAGGTAGTCGGTCCCAGACAAGGGAAGGAAATTTCCTTCCTTGTGGTAGAGACTCTTACTGGATGTCACAGACCCAGTAGTCTGGGTGTTTCCACTTGCTGAGGACGAGCTCCATAGTGAACCCGAATTCCGTCAGAGCTGCCCGTCAGCCTGGGCAAGCTGTTCTCCCTGCATAGCCCCAACTCGCCCAGACCCTCCCTCCACTGGGTGGGGCATGGAGAGGTGCGCTGCCTGGCTGTCCTCAGGGGGGGCCAGTCTGACCTCCCCCAGGGACACAGCCAGACCCTTGGGGTTTGGAGGGAGCTTGCTCTGGGGGCAGGACAAGGGTGAGGGAAGAACATGCTAGGTGGAAGTGTATGTGGTAAGCTGGACTGATCTTCATTTCCAAATTTCACTTTGTGTTGTAAAAAAAAGTGTCAACTTTTATAGAAAATTATAAAATAATAAAGCCTGCCCCGTTTTTCCTCCCATTCTGCTGGAGCAGCAACCTAACGGCTTAGTGGGAGTTCTCTGTAGAGCCTTTCCCCAGCACAGAAAAGAAATATATATTTTAGATATTCCAGCTTTAAAAATTTTTTTGCAAAATCGGTGTACTATATATCTTGTTAATTTATGTTACCTTTTTCCTCTTGTACATGTAGATTTTTTTTCTGTTCTAAATCTTGGCATTTAAAATGTACATATATCTTCCTGTTCCTATGCTGGTATTTCTTTGTAGGCCAGATTCCTGAAGTTATGAATTTTAACTCTTGATAGGCTTTGTCAATATTACCTCTCAAAATGTCCCTATTAGCACAAACTAACAATACATGGAGGAGTCCAGCAACAGCCTCTACGATGGTCCTCCTGACACCTTGGGCCAGTGCCTCCTGGACCTAAACTCAGCCATTGCTGAGTGTGGCTCCCCAGCAGCCTGGGCAGAGCCTGGGCCCCTGGTCCTTAGAACTAACTGTTCTGAGGAGCCGGAGGCTGAGCCTGAATCACTGGATTGGCCCCCAGGGAGGGTAGAGAACAAAAGGATTCATGGTTTGGGGATTCTCCCTGAAACTATGCTCCTGATTCCCTGTCATTTGTAGGTGGGTCGGCTGCCATCATAGCCTGACAGATGGTGAATCTCAAATTTGCTTCTGACATTTTCATAACTTACCCTTTTTATTGCTTTCCTGCTGTCACAGATATTTCTAGTTCTTTAGCAATTTATAATTTACCAGTTGCATTCTGAGTTTGCTTCCATTTTGTTGAAAGGCAGAGGTGTTTACTGAATTCTCAGCACTTGGCACCAAGCAAGGACCTGTGAAATTTGTGATTGTTATTTACTCCTCGCATGGCCTGGAAGGTGTTTCTGTCTCATGTGACGGATGGGGTGGCTGCCTGTGCACACAAAGCCAGGGCAGGAGCACCAGCAAGTGGGGCAAGTGGTCCTGGCATGCCGAGTCAGGCCCCTTCCTGCCCGTGACACTCTTAGAAACTGCTTACCTGTGACATTGGTGGTCAGGACCACAGGCTGCTGCCCTGCCAAGAGCACCAAGCACATTGTGACTAAAAAAGAAAGGCCTTTCTGTTGAGAAGGAAGCACCCAGCTGGGTGAGCCCTCTGCCTGGACGTACCCAGCTTCTCAAGACCCCTGGCCATTTCAGGGTGCTTCTTATCCAGGCCCTTGAGAATGCTCTGTGAGGAGGCCGAGGATTGGTTATCTGTCCCTCCTCAACAAATCACCATTGAATTACACACAGTGATGGTTCTCGTCTGGAGCAGCTTCTGTGGGTCAGGAATTTAGGAACTGTGTAGTGGGTGGTTCTAGCCCAGGGTCTCCCCTGAGGTTGGTCAGAGGCCTTGTGAGGGCCTGACTGGGGCTGAGCTGCCACGTCCAAGCTGGCAGGTTGATGCTTGCTATAGTAGGAGGGCCTCCATTTCTTGCACATGGCCCCTTCCTTGGGCTGCTTGAGCTTCCTCAAAACTGGGCAGTGGCTTCCCTGGAGCACCATCTCAGAGAGAGTGGGGAGGAGGCATGTGTCTTCCACACCCCAGCCTTGGAAGCCCTACGCTGTCACCTCAGTACCCTGTGGGTCACATGGGCTGGCTCCGCTCAACGTGGGAGGGGAGGACCTGGGTATGGATGCCAGGAGCCAAGGGGCACGGGGCTGTCTTGGAGGCTGGCTCCTACCCACGCCATGTGGTTTTTGATGACTCCTTTCTTCTTGATCGGGAAGCTGCTGCTGTGCCCTCTGTGTGCTACATGATTTGCTGGGCCATCTGTACTTAAGGAATAACAGCTTGAGCTTCCCAGTTACTCCATACGCTTCACCCTGACGTCATTTCTCTTCAGAAGTGCTATGGGAGGTGGGGGAGTAGTGGAAAATCAAGTCTCCATTGTATAAGTTAAAAAAGGGAGTATGCCTCATTCCCATGTGTGATCTGGGAGTGCTGTGGCTCTTTCTCTATAGGCCCTGACACAGTACCTGCCTCTGGACTGGGGCATAACTGATTTTGTGATGTCATAGAAAGAAGCAGGGGTCAAGAATACAACACAAAAAAAGCAAACGCAGCAAGTGTTGTTATTGTCAGTTGAGCAGAGGGGTATACGGGTATGGTTTATTATTACGTGGTGCAATACATATAAATTGTTTTATTCTCTTATTTTCAAAATCCTGAGGGGAAAAGAGTGCTCCACTCTATGGAGTGCTGGGCCGTGGCTCATCTGTCAGATCATTTTTCTACCCACATGTACACATATTTCACAGAGATTCTCTTAGCTTGAGATGATAAAAACTCAACTCTAAATGGCTTAAGCAGAGTTAGGGGCTCACCTGGGCAGGAACTTGGAAGAAATTATCCCAGGGGTGTTGTCAGGGCTCTCTTCCATCTCCTCTGCTTGCTTCTTGGTGGCACTGAGCTCAGGCCAGGTCTCCTCATGCAGCTTCCAGGGCCAGCAGGGTCCATACAGCACATTATCTCACAGGGAGAAAGGCCTCTCCCCCGGCCTCCTATCAATCCCCCTGATATCCTCTGCTTGGGACATGCCCTTCTGTGTCAGTTACCTTTTCAGGAAGAGGGTCTCTGTCCAGCCTGGGTCACATCCATATTCATAAGATGAGTGGGGACAGAGGCAGAGACTTTACAGACAGAAAAGTTGGCAGGTGCAGTGCAGATCTGGGCCTCGCCTGTTCTTAGGAAAGCCAGGAAGTGTTTGGAGAAGCCACACATCCTTTCCTGCCCAACGGGCTTTGCTATTTCCAGAGTCTCGACTTCAGTGTGGACGAGAAGGTGAACCTTTTGGAGCTGACCTGGGCCCTTGAGAACGAGCTCATGATGGTTGGTGGTGCCACTCAGCAAGCGGCCTTGGCCTGCTACCGCCAGGAGCTGAGCTTCCGCCAGTAAGAGCCCAGTGCGGTTGGGTGGTGGGGAGGTGGGTACAGCTGGCCAGGCTGCTGGGTGGGGGGCAGTCCTGGGAAATGGGCATCCTGCCCTTGTCCATCCCAAGCCAGTCCCAGGGGGCAGGGGGCTTGACACCACCTTTCCCACTGGCTCTCCTCTAGAAATGGGCACTTTTGGGGGGACAGGAAAGAGCTAAGCACTCCCTGTGCCTCGAGTGACATCCCTGTGTGTGATGTGAGGGGGGCTTGCTGCTTGGGCTTTTACAGCCACAAAATTTCAGGGTCACTGGCCTTGAGCAGCTTAGAAACTGATGTCAAGGTCCTCCCTTAGCCCCTTTTAGGAAGGTTCCAAGGGGGCATCTGAACCTGACACTCATCCTGCTGATACTTGAGCTCTTGGGTGCAGAGGCAGAAATCCTCCAGTTGGCAGGGATGTGTTCCAAGAGCAGGCAGAGGGCTCCTGAGCTGGGGCGGCTGGCAGGAGAGAACAAAGTGTTCCTCAACATGGTCACCAAGAGCAAAGTGATGGGGGCCGAGAATGCGTTCCATTTTAGTTGGGTTCAGCTTTCGATTAGCAGAGTATTCAGGCCATCGGGACAGCAGATTGGTGTAAAGATCATTTTTGTGTTTATTGATGTTCCAAAGCTGCAGAAAAGAAATCATGATTTCTCTCCTCAAGACTTTGCATCCCATTAGGTGCTGACAGGTGAGCTTTCTGACCTCAGGCAGCTCTGCAAATAGGACCACAGAAAGACTGTGCCTTGGGAGGGTAGAGGGAGAAAATCTCCATGCTCCTTCAGGGGGAGAAACGGTCACCAGAGTGGCAGGTGCCAGGGGTGAGTGCAGAGCTGTAGGTGGGGCCTGCTCTGGGTGACTCACCTAGATGTCAGGCTGCAGGTGTCGGGGTGTGACCAAGGCAGGATGATGGGTGGTCAGCCTTCTCTCCGTCATGTATCTAGTCCCGGATTTGGTGATGGGGATCCCTAGGAGAGGAGACAGAAGGGGGCATGGGTAAATTCTCACCTGTTCTGGGCCATCTGGAGGTGTGGCACGCCGTAAGGCTCTAGGCTCAGACTTCCTTGGTTCAGAAACTTTCTAGAAGTCTTCCTTGACAGGTCATTTAGCCTCTCTCTCAGTATGTGCATCTGTAAAAAGGGCATAGTAGTTCTGGAAACCACTTCTAAGAGATGGTTGGTGGTGGCAGTGAGGTCAGAGCACAGCACTGCCCATGCTCAGCGCCCAGTTAATCATTCATGCAGACACAGGGCTTGCTGGGCCCAGCGCAGGTGTCCCCATCTGAACCTGTCTCCTTCCTGTGGCAGGGGGCAAGTGGAGCAGATGGCAAGGGAACGAGACAAGGCGAGGCAGGACCTGGAGAAAGCCGAGAAGAGGAACCTGGAGTTTGTGCAAGAGATGGATGACTGTCACTCTGCCCTAGAGCAACTCACGGAGAAGAAGATCCAGTAGGTCTTGTGGTCATAACCAAACCCAGAACTGCAGCTCCTTAGCAGCTGGGCAGTGATTTTCCAACCCTGGCCACCGGTGGGTGGTGGATGTGGGGCTGCCACTAGGTGAGGCCATGGTCATGAACATGGTGGAGCTGAGGCCCTCCTGTTTCACCTGAGCCAGTAGAAATCTAGAAGGTTCACCTCTGGGGATGTCCTTTCTTGAAAGAAGAGGGGTGCATTTAAAAAAGCAGCCTTGCTCTTTATGATGGGACATGTGCAGGGGCATCCAGCTAGTGTGCCTGTGGGCTACAGGGAAAATTCCTATTTTCTACTTTATTTATGGGGTCTGTCCTACTTAACCTGAGTCTTCTGTGTGTGCCTATGGCTAGTGACATGGATGAATGTTTTGAAAGAGGACTGGTGAATGATTTTGGAGCCTGATGAAAGGAGCCTGACATGGTAGAAGGAGCCCAGAGTCCGAAACCTGACTCCAGGCATTGTGAGGTACAATGGAATGGTCTGCTCCATTGGTGGGGTTGGTGGCTGGACAGACCAGAGGGAAGGACTTCTGACCTTTTATGGACACAAAACCCACCTCTGTGGTTTATTAACCAAAATGTGAAGAAATCCAGCCCCTGAGGATCTCCCAGGTTGGGGCAAGCAGAGGAGAGGCTTTTCACCCCCCTGTGGGAAACAGTCTATGCTAGGCTTCCCTAGCTGGCACAGCTGAGCTGGTTATTCACCTTCTGGAAGCTTTTGTCACCTGGAGGTGTCCCCTCAAGGATAGCAAAGGGTGTGCACTGTGGAAAAACCAGTGTGCTGTACTCAGCTCTCAGTAGTGGTGGTAATGGGGGCACAGGGAGGCTACCAGCCTCCCCACCTCATTCTCCCTCACCAGCCGTTGCTGTGATCGTGGGTGGACGGAGTCCCTGAGATTCCTCATCTGTGAAGTGGGAATGGTGACAGACCGTCCTCTGCATGGGAGGGTACCAGTCAGTGTGTTTGAGCCCTCAGCGGGGTTTGGTATCTCATGCCTATGGGTTAGCTGAGCATGGGCCTCCATGAAATGTATGACAAAGAGAAGCAAGAACTCAGGTGGCGTACATGGCTTCAGCGAGCACATGTCTGAGAGCTTGTGACCAGCCATCTCATTCCTGTACCTCTGGGATGTTGCCTCTCACTGTCTTGTGTGGTTGTAGCATTTGAAGGAAACACTTCCCTCACACCAGCCCCGCCGGCAGTGTTTGCAGATATTGTGGCATGACGTACATGAAGTCCCCGCATACAAGGCCCTGGGTGGGCAGTGTACGGGCCTTCACAGGACCTTTTACCTGCCCCCATCTACCTTACTGCAGGCTTCTGAGCACCGTCCCAAAAAAGGCCTGTTCCTGCCATGTGTGGGGACTGTCACGGTCACAGTTACAAAGCCCTCACCCTCATGGCTCACAGCGGGAGGGATTGGAGGCACCCGGGGGTGCAGCCAGCTTTCCTGGGGCTCCGAGGTTCGCAACATGGCCATAGCGGATTGGGGGGGGGTTTCATGGTCACACAGGACCAGTTGATTGTGTCCAACTGAACAGTAGGGTTGAAGACCAAGAGCCCGTTTCATCTTCACCAGAGATACTGGGCGCCTTCACTGTGCAGCCGGAGGTCTGGAGGTTGAGGAGCCGGTTGGCCCTCTATAGAGGAAGGAGCCTATTCCAGCCTGTGAAACTGTGCTGTGTTGTGCTCCTGTTGTGCATTGGGTGGGCACACCAGCCACACTGGGTGTGACTCACCAGCCACAGTTACCCCATAGGCCATTTTTGCCGCATTTTTCAGCTAAAGAAACTGAGGCCTACAGCAGTGTAGTAGCTTGCCCACAATCACAGTGTGGACTAAAAGTTGAAGCCAGGTCTCCTGTCTCCTTGTCTTATGCTGTCTTTGAGATAAGAGAGCATGAGGCCCTGGCCTGCTGTGTATTGAGTGTAAGAAAACAGACCATTAGGCAGGAGGAGCACTGAAGGGTAGAAAGCTTGTCACTTCCCAGGCTCGGCTCACCTGGAATCACATACTGCCATCCTAAGTCAGCACATGAGGGTCCCACTGGCTCACCCTCCCATAGGACCCGTGTACTAGGGGTTCCAAGGAAGGTACTGGCTGTCCCTACTGGTCTGTGGGGGGAACATGCTCTGGGCCAAGCAGGGCCACACATCTGAGTCCACAGGCCTCTGGAATCCCAAAGGCCTGGGATACCCTTTCCTTCCTGGGGAGGCTGGGGAAGGCCAGATGCAGGAGGCTGAGATCCTGGTCTGCTCACCAGTGGAAGTCCACACCTACCTCTGCCTGGTGTGGAGAAGAAGTATGCAAGGGATGGCGTCAAGGGCATAGTGTGGAAGAGTGCATCTGTGTGTGGGCATAGTGTGGAAGAGCATGCGTGGGGGAGCGTGGTGTGGAAGAGCGCGTGCGTGGGCGTGGTGTGGAAGAGCATGTGTGGGGGAGCGTGGTGTGGAAGAACACATGTGTGGGCGTGGTGTGGAAGAGCGCGTGTGTGTACAAGTGTGCACACATGCATACTCATTTCCATCGTTTCTGCATGAAAGACTCTCACAGGATAATGGTGATGTTCAGGAGACCAAAACAGTAAGGATCCTTTCCCCAAATTTTCAGAAATAATATCCAGTCAAACCTGAGAAAATAAATAAACATGGTCTCACTGGAAGGAGGTGTTAGTAAGGCTGTGGAGCCCGGGTCGGGAGTCCAGCCATGACACCTTGACTTCTGCATGGATGCGTTGGCTGTGGCCTTGCTTAGCCCCCCTTATCTCAGTGTGGAACATGGGCGGCGGTGTTTATCACAAAGGAGCATTTAGTTAAGAAATAACTGCATTTTGTTTCTGCTCCTGACAGCAATCAACAGTCTCTATTCAACTGATTCCCTTGTAGCATCCAGCGGTAAAGCCTCCCTGTTGAGCGCTTCTTACTGAGCAAGTTCCTGTGGGTGGAATTAGAATGTTTAACTGGCTGGCTCTTGCAGCTGCCAATGTATGATTTTGCTCACCTAACAGTCTCCTTAGCTCCCTGACCTCACAAAACAGGGTGTGAGGTCAGCGTGGGTTTCCACAGAGTGAGACTCTCATTAAAAATTAGGAACTGAAGGAACCTTGGAAGAAGACAACAGAGGGATTGCTGACACACTTTTTCCTTTCTCAGTGCCTCCCCCACCTCCTTATGGCCCTTCTAACAGCATGGGTCTGTTGTTAGACTCACCACTGACGTCAGAGGCTTGAGATCACCCCCTGAGCAGGAGCAGGACTGATTCTGGTGCCACTGAGACCTTGGGTCGCAGCCTCATGGGGACTGTGGGGCAGGAGGGCCCCACAGGGGCCTGTCTATACTCTGGAGCAGCCCGATTCCCACATGATCTTTCCATCTGCCCTGCACTGTCACCTGCCAGCCCTTGGTTAATGTTGTTCAAGGGAGAAAACTTTTTAGAGAATTATGTCCAAGAGCTAAATGTAAGTTGATTTTAGATGATCAGTTTAAGTAACTGAAAACTGATTTGCTTCAGTCACGGCATGTTAGGCTTGATTCTCTCCCAAGCACATGGGAAGAATTTTATGATGTCTTTCCTGGGGTCAGAGAATCACGAACTTGAAAGCCTTATCTTGGTCTGAGGATCTGGTCAAGGACTCCATGAAGGCCCTGTGAGTTAGGATTTTGCCCCATGAGTAATGGAGCATTATCAGGAGTTTCTAGAAATAGCTGTTATGGCTGCATTAGGTTTTTTTATTAGAAGAGTAATAAATGATACATGTACATTGTAGAAAATACAAGTAAAAGTAAAAATAAAAGCAGAAATTTCACCCAGAGGTTATCACTTCTGACGTTTATGTCCTTCACTTCTTTTTTCCATGCACATAATTATTTACAAAATGATATCATATCATATATGCTTTTGAGATGACTGCAGAGCATCCCATTATGTGCATCTGCCATATTTTATTTGTCCATTTTTCTTTTGTTGGATATTTCTAAAGTTTTTAAAGAATGGAGTGATATGATCAAATTAAAACTACCCCAAAGGTTTGTGGAGTGTTACATTAGGTAGATTTGTCTTATTCTTTTCCCCTAAGTAACAGCTGCCCTTTCTCCATCTCCTTTCCTGCTGGGTGTTCTTTCCTTCAAGTTCTGAAATGAGAAAGTCTAGACTGTCTGGAGGGGCCTGAGGGCAAACCCCTGGTGTTCTCTGCTGAGTTATTAACATTACCAAGCTCTCTGCTGAATGAAGTTAAGAGTTTCACTCATCTTCAGTCTAGATGGACTTGGTTTTAGAAATCTTGCTAAACAACTGTTTCAGTGATAAAACTAAGATTTGGGGGCGCCTGGGTGGCTCAGTCGGTTGGGCATCTGCCTTCGGCTCAAGTTGTCATCCTGGAGTCCTGGGATTGAGCCCCGTGTCAGGCTACCCGCTCGGCAGCGAGTCTGTTTCTCCCTCTCCCTCTGCCCCTCCCCCTGTTCTTGCGTGTGCGCCACTCTCTCTCTCAAATAAATAAAATCTTAAAAAAATAAATAAAACTAACATTTGGCACTTTTTTCCGCTGATAGAAATGGTTCTTAGGAAAGAAAAGGCAGAAACTGAGAGGGGAAAATGCCTCCTCCTACCTTCTCCTCTGATTGCTTTGGGATTCACTGTCCGCAAGTTTTATGTTGCCTGGGTCCTGCATGAGAGGCTTACTTCGGTACACATTTGGTTATCCAGGCTGCCCTGGTGTGAGAGGTGGCCGAAAGGCAGAGGGCATCAGAGAGGTCTACCCACAGAGAGCATTGGCTAGCTCACTCCAGAGGCTCCAGGGACCTGCTGGTTTCCCTTGTCACCTCCCCTAGCCCTCGGGGGAGGGGGGGCATCCACCATCAGGTCCTGGGTAGGGGGGCTTTAAAGGAGGGCCCGTGCCCTTACAGCATGTGCAGTTTAGCTGAGGTTCACTGACCCCATCTGTCGAGCAAGAACAGTTGAGTCCCAGACAGTGTGGCCAAGTGCTACGGGCAGGAAGGTTCCAGGGAAGAAAGGCTATGTTGCCCAGGAGATATCCCTGGAGAGGCGGGGGTCAGTATGGGCCTGGGGGCCCCTTGGGACCCACCATGACATATCGTGTGTGTGCCTTGCAGACACCTGGAGCAGGGGTACCGGGAAAGGCTGAGCCTCCTGCGGTCTGAGGTGGAGAGGGAGCGTGAACTGTTCTGGGAGCAGACCTGCAAGCAGAGGGCTGTGCTGGAGAAGGACCTGGAGCGCCTTCGGGCCGAGGAGGTCAGCCTCCAGGAAAAGCTGACCCTCGCCCTGAAGGTAGGTGGGGAGCAGTGTCTCCCCAAGTCATCCTGCCCTGAATGACAGAATGGAGGTCGCCTGAGGGTTCATCCCCCCTCACCCCACATTTTCCTAGTCAGGGACTGAATACCTCCTAGGAATCTTAAAGTTTACATTTCCATGGTAGGGAAACACCTGGAATTTCCAACTGAGGAACGTTGGCTGCAGCCACAGAGATGGCACATTTCTCAGCCAAAGCAGAAGGGGTCCTGGCTTTTCCACAAGAGGCATTGCCCCTGCCTTCTCTCTGGTCATGGGGCCAGCAGGACAGGTTGAGACCTGTGGGGCTCTTACTCTCTGCTCTGGCTCAGGGGGACAGTGGTCAGAGAGGGTCAGCAGCAGCCAGCTTTGCTGCACCGCATCCCCCTCCCCCCGCCACCAGAGACCAGAACATCTGCGGGGTCAGCAAAAGACCAAAACCTAAAGCCCACCCTGCTGGAGTCCTGGGTGTGTAGCCTGAAGCAAACGGGGTTTTCTGGGCTTTGGTGAATGTCCTGAGACCCACAGCCACCCTACATTTGGTTCTATCCAGTGAGGTGTCCCCTGTCCCCATGTCCCCTGGTCCCTCCTGTGCTCCTGCCTTCCTCCTGCTCTCCTAACGCAGAGCCTGCAGATTCTTTCCACATCTGCCTGGTCTCTGTCTCCCTGGGGGAGAAGCTGTGTCCTTGCCCGAACTGTTTCCTGTGTCAATGGGCACGGCCTTCCTCCCCTGGGGGACATCTGAGCTGTGAGGGTGCAGTTTCCAATACCTCGTTTAGACAACAGCTCAGAAAGAATTGCCCCCAGCCTCTTGTGTTACTCATGGTCTTCTTGAGCATTCAGGCCAGGAGAAGAAGGGGCAGTGGGGAGAGCAACAAGCACTGGTGAGGGGCTCTGTGGGTTGGTCCCCAGCACAGACCCCCCTGCAGGTGCCAAGGCAGTGAGCACCAGTCACGTTGCATTTGCAGGTTTCTTCCTTGATTGTGAGTGCTGCTGGGAATAAATCTCTGACGCAGAGGGGAGATAGGCTGCCCACAGCTCTGTTCTTCACCCCCAAAGCCTGGCAAACTGCTGGTTTGTGTCTTGTAGGAAAACAGTCGATTACAGAGGGAGATTATTGAAGTTGTGGAAAAGCTTTCGGAATCAGAGAAGCTGGTCTTGAAACTGCAGAATGACCTGGAGTTTGTGTTGAAGGACAAGGCAAGTCCTTTTGCTGATTCTGAGTCTCTGGGTCCTGGGTAAAAAGTGTCAGGGACTTGAGAAAGAATACATAGGTGAGTGAATTCAGTTGTTTCCTACTATAATTCTAGAATGGAGAGAAACTTTCCTTCTGTTTCCTTCCTCTTTGTGCCAGTGCAGGGGTACTGGTACACCCTGGTGACACCATGCCTGCTGAACATTTAGTGACAGTGCCATCTGCACAGACCCCCGTGATGGGTTCTCAGTGGTGAGGGGCACAGAGGAGAGCTCCATGTCCATCATGAGGTGCCCCCATCTGGCCCTACCCTTCACCTAGAGTAAAGAAGGGGAGGAGAAGTGCTGCACAGAGAAGTCCAGGCAGGGGGTGTCCCAGGCAGCTGAGGCAGGAATGCACCCCAGGCTCCAGTTGGGAGTATGACCACCTTCCATAAATTCAGAGCATCCTTTTGCCTTGAGATCTTTTAAACGAGAGGAGGGAAGAGGAGGAGGAGGAGGAGGGGGGGGGATGGAAGGCTATACTTGGAGATGCTGAGCCTAGTGGGAGGAGCATGAGAGGGTGATAGCACACATTCTACCTGGCCTGAGGTCCTGTCTGTCATTTTCCTGTGTGGGTCTGACTTTTAGCTGGAGCCACAGAGCACAGAGCTCCTGGCCCAGGAGGAGCGGTTCGAGGAGGTCTTAAAGGAGTATGAGCTCAAGTGCCGGGTACGTGCCCCGCCCAACCCCCTTTGCCATCCTGAGCCATCACATTGCCTTTGTCCTGCCCTGGGACCATTGCTCTTGTCTTTGGTGCATGGAGCCCTCATGCACCCCTGCCCCACACACCCCCAGCCCACTTTGCAGCAAGAGCGATGGTGCTGGGGAGGGTACTAAGAGCTTGGCCTTCCAGAGACTGCCTGGTGCCAGAAGGCCATGTAGCCCTCTTGTAGCCATGCCTGCTAAGAACAGGGTATGGAGCCCATGAGACGGTGGGTGGTGCAGGTCATCAGGGTCTGACTGGTTTAGACCTGGATAGTGGTGTGCAGGCCTTGTACTTCGCCTTCCTGCCTAGGAGCAGCCTGTCATTCATGGCGGGCCACATTCCTGGCCTCCACATGAATGGTAGAAGGTCAGCAGGAGCATCCTTGTATGAGCAGAGCAGGTGGAGCTTCTGATCTCGGCCTGTGTTCTACTGACGGGACCTCCAAGTCTCATGTTCCATAAGGAGAGGGGACCCAACTTGCCTACGTGGTGCCCGTGCTCAGCCCCACCAGGGCAGGCCAAGGGTGCGAGACTGGCACCAGCTCTGAAGCCCCCCTCAGTGTTTGAAGGCACCATGCAGGTAGCCACACCTACCAGGGATCATCCATTCAGTTAGAGACACCACAGAGCAAGGCCTAGGTGATGAACCACGTCAGTGGTGCTGAAACATATCATGACCCTGTTACACTCTTAAAATTACCCAGGATCCCAACAGCTAAAACATTATTGTGTGATATTAAGGGTCTATTGCCAATTCACTTCTTAATGATTTCCCTCCAAATTAAAGTCAGAATTGACTTTGTTCCTGCTGCACGTTGCAACACCAGAGGATAAAGGTGAGTGCATGCTGTTCTGGAGTGTAATGTGACCTACTGCTTCCTGCCCCCTGCTCTTTCCTCCACTCCAAACCCTGACTACCAGGGTGCCCTTCTGAAAATCCTGTGTGTGGTCAGCTGTGGCACCCTCCTCCTGAACCTCCTCCTGGGCATATGCTGGGTTGGGGTTGGGGGTCTGTCGTGATGGTTGGATTGCAGTGACATGTCATGTTTCCTCCCTCACTTTAAGCTTGTTGCCTTGATTTAGAGCCTGTAACTAACCATCAACTAATACATTACTTTAGTGCACTGGATCTTTCAAACACGCATAAACCCCATCTTTCTCTCACAGGACTCCGTTACTTAAAGAACTGTTATCATTTCACTTCTGCTTCTTCAAATTTGATTTTTTGAAACATCAGAAATATTGTACATATTAGTGTTAGTTAATCCATTTATTTAGAAATTGGTCTTTCCATTTTTTTACCATTTTTGGTTGTTTCAAACTTACATTTAGTGCATTAAAAAAAAACTTTTTATTGGAAAATAGTTTCTAATACATGAAGTTACAAAAGTAAAAACAGTGGCAGGGACACCTGGATGCCCTTTGCCCATATTCACCTGTTGTTTACATCTTACTCTGTGTGCTCATTGCATACTTGCTCACTTGTGTGCTGTGTGTGGAAAATCACACAGTGATTTTCTGAACATCTGAGAGGGATTGACATGCATCATGGGGCCACTCCACCCCTCAGCAGGTCAGTGCGCATTTCCGAAGAACAGGCTTAGTCCTCCTACCTTGCAGAGGTGTGCAGGTGCACTAGAGTTGATTGTTTAGTGCTCAGGAGTTTTGCCAGCTTCTTGTTAAATCTTTGATAGCTTGAAATCAGCTATGGTGGGAGTTACTTACACTACAGAAATGTGCAAAAGCCAGAAGTCTGGGCTTTCCTTCCTGAAGACCCCGCTTCCCATTCTGCCTAACTGTGGCACACTTAGTAACTTCATGATTCCCGCTGAGACAATACTTTAACCTGTTGGTCGTATTTCAGTTTTGTTAGTTAACTTAACAGTGTTCTTTAGAGCCTTTCCCCCTGCAGTACAGGATCCAGCATAGGGTCAGATGCTGCCTTTAGTTGTCATGAAACATTCTGTTTTAGACCATTCAGGCTGCTGTAACAGAAACGACATAGACTGGAGCCACAAGAGATTTCGTTCCCACAGTTCTCGAACCCAAGTAGTGAATTACAGAGACTACCCCAGTGGAGCTGCCTCACAAGATCACTTTATTTGTAGTAACAGGGAGATGGTTGGGAGTAATTAAAACACAGCCAAACAAGGGAAAGCAGGCTCCTTTTACTAGGGCTTGGGATGAATATTCAGAGGGGGATTTTCACATTATAATGAGGCTGAGGTAACTATGGGTCACTTCTGGCACTTTCTGATTCATCTGTAGTTGGGCCTCCTCAGATGCTGCTTTTTCCTTTCCAGCAGTTTATTAGTTTGTTTCTAAAAGGTAAGATTGACAGCGAGGCAGAAGGCTTTAGGAGTTTAGTTCCTAAAAGGTAAGATGGACAGTTAGGCAGAAGCTTCTACTAGAAATTTCCTGAGCCCTGGGGGTCAGGCCCAGCCCAGTGTCTGGTGACAGCTCTTTTCCTGGGACAGACTGAAAGCTGCCTTCAAGGGAGCTCTCTGGGGTCTCTAACACAAGGGCACTGATCCCATTCATGAGGCTCCGCCCTCATGACCTGATTATCTCCCAAAGCCCCACTCCCCCGCAACGCCTTCAAAATCTTCTCCTTGGGTGTGAGGATTTAACCTGCCAATTGGGGGTGGAGGGAAGGCACATCCAGTCTACAGCACTTTCCTACAGATTTTGTCTCTGACATGGGTATTTTTATTTTTTAATTTAATTTATTTTTATTTTTATTTATTTTTAAGATTGTATTTATTTATTTGACAGAGAGACACAGAGAGAGAGGGAACACAAACAGGGGGAGTGGGAGAGGGAGAAGCAGGCTGCCCTCAGAGCAGGGAGCCAGATGCGGGGCTCGATCCCAGGACCCTGGGATCATGACCTGAGCCAAAGGCAGACACTTAACAGCTGAGCCACCCAGGCACCCCTGACGTGGGTATTTTTAAAGTGATATCTTTAAACATTCTTATTTTGTCTTTTTCTGATATTTCCTTTGGATTAAATTGAGATTAGGTGTTCTCAGCGGGATAGCATAGGTGATGTTAATTTTTGATCACCTGGTCAAGGTGTTACCTAATTTCCCCACTGTATAATTACTGGGCTTTTTTTTTTTTCCTCCAGTGCAACTAATGATCAGTCAGTGGGGAGACACGTAAAGACCACATAAACATCCTGCTCTTCATCAGAATTTTCCCCGGATTTAGTGTCCACTTCAGTCTTTACCACAGTGATTGCCAAATGATGCTTTCCCAAGCCCAGCACCCACTCCATACCTATCAGCTGACCCTTGGAATTCTCCCGTGAGCCAGAGGAGTCCTGCTTCTCTGCTCTTTGCTACTGGAGCATCACTGCCTCTGGGCTGACGGTGTTTTTAGTCAGTCTCCGGAGGTAGAGACAACCTTCAGCCTTCCCCGCAGGGCATCATCCAGCCTTTCCAAAGTCACTGCTTGGTGTTTCCCTGTACTTTGTGACCAGGATATTTGTTAGCAAGGAAACCATGCTTTCCCTTGTTGCCAAATCCTCTTTCTACTTAACTGTCATTTTAGCTTTTTGTCATTTCCTTCAGCTCTCTCCATTTCCTTGGTGAGGCTGCCTTTGGTTAAAGGGGAGTGTAAAATGTTAATCAGAGTTCTCTGTGGTTTCATGTTTCTGCTGTTGCTTTAGGTGGACATTGTAATGGAGGAGCGTGTCCTTGGTCAGAAACCCCAAATGCACATTTTCCTTTTCTGCATTTTCAGTTACCGATGCGATGCTTGGGTGTCCCCAAATTCATGTGTTGAAGCCTAGTCCTGCAATGTGACTGTGTTAGGATGTGGTGGGCCTTTGAGAAGTCATTAGGTCATGAGGGTGGAGCCCAGTGAAAGGTATTTGTGCTTTACGTAAGGGGTCCCAGAGAGCTCCCCCATCTGTCCCACCATGTAAGGACGCAAGAAAAGACATCTCCGACCCAGGAAGCCTTCACCAGACACTAAATCTGTCCGCATCTCGATCATGGACTCTAACCTCCAGAACTATGAGAACTAAATTTCTGTTCTTGATAAGCCCTGTCTGTGGTATTTTGTGATAGCAGCCCAAATGGACTGTCACACACACCAACCCCTGACTGACGTCCCCACCATTATCCGTCCTTGGGTGGTTCTTCATCCCCCCCTTACATGTGTGCTTACTTGGGCCCAGCCAGCCTGCTGGCACCCCCTTCCTCTCTGATGCTTCCCAGTGCTGCTGTTGAAGTCCCACCCTCCCCTCAGACCCTTAGTACTGCAGAATTACGGCAATGGACTTGTTGCCTTTCCTGGCTGGTACAGTAGTACCTTTGGCACCCATAGGCACCCCAAGTAAATGTGAGTCCCTGTGGAAATAGGTGCCTGGCTCCCCAGCCCCACCAGACACCCTCTGTGTAGAGCTGGGGCCCACGGCTCGTGCCCAGGATGGTGCATGTCACCCTCATCAGTTAGAACTGGTGATGCTCCCTGCTGGGTCCTCCAAGCAGAGAAGTCTATGCCCTGCATAACACCTAAGAAAACCTGCTTTTTGGCGCTGCTGGATTTGTGGGATGTGTGTATGTTTTCAAAATACTCAATACAAGGTACACATGTAATTTTAAGTTTTCCCATAGGCACATTAAAGAGTGTAAAAAGAGGGGCGCCTGGGTGGCTCAGTCGTTAAGCATCTGCCTTCAGCTCAGGTTGTGATCCCGGGGTCCTGGGATCGAGCCCTGCATCAGGCTCCCTGCTCAGCGGGAAGCCTGCTTCTCCCTCTCCCACCCCCTCTGCTTGTGTTGCCTCTCTCGCTGTGTCTCTCTGTGTCAAATAAATAAATAAAATCTTTAAAAAAAAATGTAAAAAGAAATAGGTGACATCAATTTTTTTTATTCTTATGTTAATCCCCATACATTACATCATTAGTTTTAGATGAAGTGTTCCATGATTCATTGTGCATAACACCCAATGCTCCATGCAGAATGTGCCCTCCTCAATACCCACCACCAGGCTAACCCATCCTCCCACCCCCCTCCCCTCTAGACCCTCAGTTTGTTTTTCAGAGTCCATCGTCTCTCATGGTTCGTCTACCCCTCCGATTTCCCCCGCTTCATTCTTCCCCTCCCGCTACCTTCTTCTTCTTCTTTTTTTTTATTCTTATGTTAATCCCCATACATTACATCATTAGTTCTAGATGAAGTGTTCCATGATTCATTGTTTGTGCATAACACCCAGTGCTCCATGCAGAATGTGCCGTCCTCAATACCCACCACCAGGCTAACCCATCCTCCCACCCCCCTCCCCTCTAGAACCCTGTTTGTTTTTCAGAGTCCATCGTCTCTCAGGGTTCGTCTACCCCTAGGTGACATCAATTTTAATAACATTTTATTTAATTCAATATTTCTACAATATTACCATTATATCCGTTTTTTTGGAATCCAGTCTTTGAAATTTGGTGTAGATTTTAGGCTACAGCACACCTCGATTCAGACTCCCCGCACCTGAGATGCTTGGTGGCCTATGCACTGAGTGCTGCCTTCTTAGACATCCCAGGGCTAGAGCAGCAGTGACCACAGGCTGTGTCAGGAACCACGGGGTCCACGCTCTGTTCTGCACACTTGTCCCGAAGCTCTTACTTTCTGCCCTGCCCTTTCCCCCCAGACAGAACTGCTTCCTCCATGGGGAAAATTGTATGTTTGTCTAGGAGATTCTGAATGAGGTACAGTGACCCTGTGTGAATCTGTGCTTCTTGTGAGATCTGTGCAGAACCCGTCCCTTCTCCCACTGCCTAGAACTGCCAATGAGAGGCTCCTTCTCCAGGGGCATGCAGCCACAGGCCAGGTGCTGGCCTTCAGGAACAGTTTTGGGAAGATGAGGTCTACTCAATGAGAGCCGCCTGGAAAGGAAACTCAAATAGGATTAAAAAACCAGCAAGGGATGTGGAGGCTTGTGGATGTGCCGGGTGTCCATGTGGTCTTGGCTAGAGGGGCTATCCCAAAAGGAGAAGCTGGCTAGAAGCTGCACCCTTGGAAGACGGGGCATCACTTCTGCCATCCTGCAGGCTGGGGCAGTCAGGGGCCTGTTGAGCTTCCAGGGCAGGGGGACATAGACCCAGAGTCAGGAGTGGACATGGCAACACACGCAGCTGTGGTGTGCTAGCTGTGGGACTGTCTGAGAAAGTGGCTATAAACTCTACCCTTTCTAGCCCGTTTAAAAATCAGGTGACCAGGTGTGCTTGTTGAGATGTGTTTCTTTCACGTGTGGACAGAATTACGCTGGTTGCAAATGAGGCCCTTCCTCTGAAGCTTTCATGATCACCTCCCAAGTCCCCCCACCTCCCCCAGTGTGCGCGCTCACTCAGACATCATCCTTTCTGTTTGGTAAGATCATCTTTGTTCTGTAGCCCTTGGTCTAAAGCACCTGGTATCCTCTTGGCTCAGTAGCTGTAGAAAGAACCGTTTGCAGATTCAACAGCAGCAGAGGAAAGAATCCCAGGACACATCCCAGGACATTGCTGCCTCACACCCACATCACAACATCACTGGGGTTTCAGCTGTTAATGGTTCTCTGTATTTTCTACATTTCTCTTCAGTTTCCACTCCACTATTTTTTTCTGAGCCCCTTCTGAATATTGAGTGCTCGAAAGTGGTGCAGGGTACTAGAAGGTCGAGAAGTGGCCTCTGCTTTCGTTTGGCTCACCTGTCCTTAGGAAACAGGAATGCAGTTTTAAGTGTTGTGTGCTGGAAGTCAGGGCCTGACACCTGACTGCTCCCTTGGCGGGCTGGCTCCACACTGCCCCATTCCTCACCACCCCTCAGGTGGCCGCACTGGCTGCAGGGGGTGTCTGGCTGTACCCCACAGGACCTGCAGGACCGCAACGACGAGCTGCAGGCTGCACTGGAAGGCCTGCGAGCACAGCTGCCCCCGAGTTGGCATGGCCGGCCTCACGCACAGCCAGAGGAACGGCTGCCCCCTGGACACGGGCCAGCAGGTAGGAGCCCAGTCCCAGGAGGTGACAGCTTGTGCACTCCTGCTGTGGGAGAGCAGAGGCTGGTGGCAGGGGGTGTCTATCTTCCCCCACTGCACAAGCTTCCCCCTGGTCCCGGGGGACTCTGCAGGAGGGGGGCCAGCTGCCCGGCGTGTCAGGCCTCCAAGGGATCACATGCCCTTCGGACTGCCACATGTGGGAGAAGGGCCTGTAACCCAAGGCCAGGGACAATACCCAGAGGCCCAAGGGAGGTAGAAGATGGTAAGGATTTTACCATTTGGGTAGAGTGGTGAAGGTTATGATGACCTGGTAGTGACCTCAGGACAGGCATGTCCTAGTGGGCCTCTTGGGTTATGGGGAGGATCCAGAGAGATGCCCTAGGATGAACGTTCAGCAGGGGTCGGACATAGTCATCGAGGGAAGGGAGGAGAGGGGAGGCTGGGAGTGAGCAGGGTGGTGGTCTCCCAGCCCTGCTCAGAGCACGATGTCTGGTCTTGGGTCTGTGACAGCTCTCAGAGGGAAGGTAAATGCGTAAAATGTGTCAGGGACTCCTGGTATTCACAGAGGCCTCATGTGGACTGCAGCAGACAGGGCTGATGTTTACTCCCTGGATGGTGTGGAAAGGGTCGAGGTGGGGTGTGGCTGTGGCACCCTGGAAGGGCCGGCTCCACCTGCCTGTGCACAGCACTGATGCTGAAGGAGTTACTTGACAATAAAGACCAGGGCTTCACGCTCCTTAACTCTTCAGCCTGTGAGGTTTGAGACAAGCTCCAGGCACCAAGAGGCGCAGTTATTGGCTCCTTCTAGAGACTAGAATTGGGGGGTGGGGTTCAGATGCCACAGCTGTCCTTCAGGTTTCCATGGTCCTTCTGGAAGACAGGGTGGGTTTGGCTGATTGCCACCTTTCCTGGAAGTTGCATGGGGTGGGCACTATGCAAATTTACATGCTGCATGCGGTTCCATGCGCACCGCTGCTGGTGAGGAGCCTGTGGGGACCACCGGGACCACCCCGCCCCCAGCCACGTGGCTACCTCCACTGACCATGTACCACAGCAGAGTCAGCCCCTCAGAGAGCATCTTGTTCTCATCTACAACCCTTAGAGCAGTCAGAGTTCATATATTGTCCTAAAGCTGTTTACTTAATGAAACAGGAAAAAGGGGGGCACCTGGGTGGCTCAGTCGTTTAAAACTTGATTTCGGCTCAGGTCATGATTGCAGGGTCATGAGATTGAGCCCAGCCTTGGGCTCTGCACTCAGCACGGAGTCTGCTTGAGATTCTCTCCCTCTTCCTCCACCCCTCCCCCTGCACATGGTCTCTCTCCCTCTCCATCTTTCTCTTTTTCTCAAATAAAATAAATGAGATCTTGGAAAAAAAAAAAAAAAAGAATAAAGTTTGTACCTAAGAGAGCCAACATGGGAACCAAGTGGGGCTTTCTGTGCACTGGGTCCAGCTTCCTCAGTCCCTTAAGGGGATCCCCTCACAGCATCTTCTTTAGTGGAGTCTGATGACTTCCAAGACCTGCTGTCCTGACTGTCCTCAGCTGGGAGGTGTTGGGGTACGGCCAGCACACCAGACAACATCACATCCCCAGATTAGTGTTACACATGGCCAGGTGGGCAGCCTGGCCACAGGGAAGGGGGAGAGGATTGCTACCTCCCTTTGTCCCTGGAGGAGTGTGGGATGCATGGAACATGGGACCCTTGTCAAGAGCTGCCAACCATAACCCAGGGATCAGCAGAGCTAGGGACCCATACCTTGGGTGGCCCTTGTCCAGAAGACCTTGGACTGTGGCACCAGAAGGCAGCCCCAGCCTCTGTGTCATCACTGATCCCGCACCAGGGCCCTTTCTCTTCCCCTTTGCCCCCCCACCACCCTCCATCTGAACACAGAAGTCCCGTCTGCCTCTTCAAAGGAGGAGAGTTCTGCTGCCACAGGGGAGTTTTGGTAGAAGGGCTGTGGGGTCCTGGCGGCCTTGCCCTCAGTACTTCCAGATGGAGCCACTCCTACCAGCTGCTCGTGCACCTGGGCCTACTTGGCCAGAACCAGGTGGCAGCTCCGGTTTACAGGGCAGGGGCTCCTTGCTTTCCTGAGGTGCTTATCCTGACTTCTCTCGGCCCCATGGCCCTCAACTCTTTCGTTTTTTTTTCATGGCAAATCGTTAAGGCGTGTGTCATCTCCCTTCACTTCCCCAGCCCCAGACCAGCACAAAACCTGAGCAGTGGCCAAAACTCATATTTTGAGTCAGCCCTTTGGCATGTTACTCAGTAGCACCAGAAATGCCTGGTGCCCCGGGGGGTGCTTGCAGTTCTACAGGCACCTCGCAAAATGAGCTGCAAGGACGTCTGACATGGTCAGTGAGGAGAATCCTCTGGAACAAGGGGTCACTCATGTACTCTTTCCTGTGATCTGTCAGAACTTTGACTCCATGAGTATTTACTGTGTTTAACATATTGAAAACCCATGTTATTATCATGTAGTAGTAAGTAACATAAAGTCTCTAAGAAAAGGGCATAGCTAGAATAAAAAGCTTGAAAAAATAAGGCTCATAGTGCCTCATCATAAAGCACTGACTGTCTGCGACAGGTCACACTCGTTGCTCGGTCTTCCCAGTCCCTCTGTGTGCCTGGCATCATCGAGGAACAGAATTCAGGGGGCAGTAAACATACCATGTACAGCATCTTTTAGGGAATCCAAGGGCCTGACAGATCTTGCAGGGAGCCTCCTGGTTATATCTTTGGGTAATGTGTGTTCTGGCAAAGACTCGGAATGCTGATTTCTGAAGAGCTCCTACCCTGAGAGCTAAGCATAGTAGATTGCTTGTGGAAACCCACGAGGGTTGGTTGTCTCTGCCAGCACAGCATTCCTCTTGCAGAAAAGGCCCATGGAGGGTTGTGCGTGGTCAGGGGCATGGTGGCAGATGACTAGGCTGAATACTCAGTGCCGGCCAAATGTCGGATCGGAGGGCTGGGAACAGCCTACGGCATCCTCGGCAGGACAGAAACAGGAATGTCTCTTTGTTTGCAGGCATCATCTCATTTGTTGGTGATTCCATTCCAGTGAGTTTAGAAACAGAGATAATGATGGAGCAGGTGAAGGAACACTGCCAAGACCTCAAGATCCAGCTGGAGACCAAGGTCAGGGGGAGTGAGGGCGGCCACAGGGACACAGAGAAGCTTCCTGCTGCGTGCTGGAAAGCCTTGCTCGGCCGTGCATGTTTCCACATGCACACGTGTGTCCTAGATCCTGTGCCCCTTAGGAAGCCCGCTCAGGGGAACAGGAGATTGTGGGGAAATGTAAAGAAAATGAACATTTTGCCTCACACCTTCTTTGGAAGGAGGCAGGAGATAAGGAATGACCAGTAAAGGGAGGGAATGGGGTTATGTGTACCCAAGTGTCATAGGGGTCGTCGCACTGAGGCCAGACCTTGCTGCCCACTCTGCCATCAGGGAATCAGAGCTGCCATCTGTGTTCTAAGCTGATGCGACCCTGGGATTGCCCTTTGTGGGGTACTCCGTGGCCTTGTGACCAGGACCCTGGCTGAGTCTGTCTTTTTAGATGAACTTGTCTTCTGCTCTGTTAGCAGATCGTGGTGGGGTTCTGTTAAGAGACATGTCCATGACTTGTTTCCACGATTTGTTATCAGGCGTAAGAGTAGCAGCAAGGTGGGAGTGCCTGTCCTATGCTTGTGCCTCTGGGCTCCCTGGGATGCATTAGCTGGAAACTCCTGCAGTAGCCGTGCCCTGGGGGCTGGAGGATGTTCAGAGCCACCCCTGGTCTCATGAAGGCTCCCCAGTTCTCTCAGTTGTCCCACCATCTGCCCTCCAGGTGGCCTGGCCAGGCACCTGGCCTAACGTGATCCCAGTCTCCGTTCCCCACCTGCTGGACCTGCCTCCGGGGGCCCTTGTGAAGGTTATGGGAGACAAGGGAAGCCCGAGGCCACACTGCGCCCTGGGAGGGGCTCCACTGTCCTTAGCGCCGCTCTTTCTGTTCATAGGCCTGTGCACTGCTTTGGGTCTGGGCCACCATTCTTTGGGTGTCGTGCCTAGAAGTCTGGTATTTCTGTGTTGTGTTGCCCAGTAAGTCATTTTCAGGACCTCCTGATGGACACTGCTCACATTTCTCTTTTCAGGTAAATTCTTACGAGAGGGAAATGGAGCTGATGAGGAGAGACTTCACGAAGGAGAGGGAGCAGATGCAGCAGGCCTTCAGGCTTGAGGTCCACGTGCTGGAGTGCCGGAGGGCTGACCTGGAGGTGCTGCTCGGGAAGTCTCAGGAGCTCATCCGAGGCCTGCAGGACCAGCTCCAGCGGGCAGCCTGTGGCCCTCTGCTGGAGAGGGCGGGGTTGGGGCAGTGCTGCATTCAGGCACTATCTGGCCCAGCTGGGCGGCTGGCCCGAGAGCAGGACCCACCGGAGCAGGGACAGCACCAGAGGCATCGGAACGAGCTGCAGCGAGTCAGGTCAGGCACTGCGTCCTTTCAGGGTCTTACAGTTAGGGGTTCTTGCCAAGAACCCAGATTTGAAACTGCATCAGGAAACTGCTCAGAATTATAGTACCTGCTAACGGGGTGCTTTTTCTCAGGGCAGGTAGGTGAGCATTGAAAGAACAGGTCAGGGGCACTTGGGTGGCTCAGTCAGTTAAGTGTTAGACTCTTGGTTTTGGCTCAGGTCATGATATCAGGGACACGGGATCGAGCCCCAGATCAGACTTCATGCTCAGTGCCGTCTGCTTGAGATTCTCTGTCTTCCTCTCTCTTTTCCCCTCCCCGTGCTCACAGCACACTACCCCCCCAAAATAATAAATATATAAAATATTTTTTTAAAAAAGAAAGAACAGGTCATCAGGTAAGGATTGTTCTTTCGTATTAAAAATATCTGTTAACTAAAGCTTAAGAGTTAAAATTCCTTATAGAATTTTGCCTCATACTTGCAAAGGGCAGTATGTTCTTCCTTTAATCTTCCTTTAATATCTCATTTAATTTTCTAGCACATGAGCAGATGGATGAAAGGTCTAAAACCCCTAAAACAATGGGAAAGACAAATAATTTGGGTTGGTGAGGTTCTTGGAAAGGCCAAAAGGTGTGAGCAAAGGAGAGGAAAGGTTTATTTGGAAAACTGGGATATGGCATTTTGTGTTGAACAGTGTCATAGTGACATGAGAAATACCCATGTGTTCATTCCTTGTCGAGTGGGTCTGACTTGGTAGAGTGAAATGACTAGTTATCTTAGCCATGGCACTGGTCAGTCAGCCCCTCCGTGTCTTGTGGGGAGTCTTGGACCCATCCAGTTCAGGAGGGGATGACTATACCCAGCATATGTTGACCCAGGGCTGAGCGGATGGCTCACAGTGGAGTGGCCCACCGCACTGTGCTCCTCACAGAGGGCTTATGTAGGGCTCGGTGGGGTTCGGTGTTGGAGCTGAGTGCATGTGGCCTCAGTCACCCCCTGATTGCAAGATGTCGACAGCCTTTATGTAGAGACTATGCCCTCCAACCTGGGTGGGATGCGCTCTCCCCTTTGGCTCAGTGATTGGAGTTAGCCTGAGTACGTAGGGTGTGCTGTGAAAGAACCAGACTGGCCCCCAAGTCTGTGGGTGCTCCTTCCTCCCTGGACTCCATATGACACCAGTGGAAGGGCCCTGGGCCCGTGGGGGCTGACGGGAACTGTCACTCTCCTACAGGATGATAAAGGTCATTTTTAAGTCATGTGCTTTCTCTGAGCTTTAAGTTATTTTCTCTTAAACCCCAGAGCTATGCGATAAGGGACTTGACCCAAGTCCCTCTAGACCCTACTGGCAGCAGATGGGCCGGTGCCTGGTAGCCCCTTCCACCAGCCTGCACCATCCATCCGGAGGACCTGCTTGCTGTTCACAGTCCTTCCCCACGCTGGACCTAGAGCCACATCCGGCCACATGTCCTGTTCTCAGGCTGGCACCAGCCACAAAGAACATGTCCTTAGTGCCCTCACCTCGGCTGGGACTCCATTCTCCCAGGGCTGTGAAGGCCTGGTGCCCAGCAACTTACCAGATTTTCAAGGGTAGCTTTGAACTGTAGGTGAGAGCCACACATCTCACTAAAGTTTTAGACCAGCACTGTCCTTAGTACTTCCTGTGATGGGGGACACGTCCTGTATCTTCTTCATCCATGATGGCAGCCACCAGCCACACATGGCTGCTGAGCCCTGGACATGTGGCCTGCATGACTCAGATACTGAATTTTTATCCTATTTAGTTATAATCAACTTACACTTAACACTCACATGTGTGAATGGTTTCGTGTCAGCTTCTGTATGTAGAACCCAACCGTACTGAGGGCAGATCCTCCGATAGACCCTCTACAGAGGGTCCCAGGGCATGGATGGAACGCTGGGGTGCATGGGGGTGAGGGGACAGAGCAGGCCAGGCAGAGGAGGTCCGTGGTCAGGACAAGAGGAGCCTGTGAGGAGGCCTTTCCAACCTGGGGGTAGGACTGGGCCTGAGCTGTGCCCACAGCGCCTGTGACGTGCTCTGTTTCTGTAGGAAAGAGGCCGAAGTTGTGCTGAACTACGAGCTCTCAAGGATGGAAGCCCAGCAGGCTGCCCACTGTAAGCACTTTGCGCTGCAGCCTCAGCAGGAGAAGGAAGAGGTGCTCCAGAGAGCCCTGCTGCAAGTCCACGAGGTGACAGAGCAGCATGACCAGGAGAAGGAGCGGAGGGCGGGCAGGGGGGAGGAGCCCCACCCACGCTGGGGAAGTCAGCAGCGGAAGCTGCAGGAGCTGGTAGGCAAGGAACAGGTAGAGTTTTGCAGGTCCTCCGCCCTGGAGGAGGAGAAGCTGGAGCTCACCTGTAGGAAACAAGTGGGAAGGCCTGTATGGGCAGCAGACATGCTGTGGGCCTGCTGGAGGGACAGGCCAGCAGTGGCAGGTCGTGAGCAGGAGGGTGCAGGCAGGAGGGAGCAGCCACTGGCCTGGCTGGAACCTGGCGATGGGCGTGGCCATGGGCAAACCAGGTGCAGGCATGTGGATGCCCAGCAGAGCCCAGCCCTAGCCCCTGCCCTGGCCCGCAGAGGGCCCTTGGAGAGCCTTGGCCTCAGAGAGAATGGTCGGCATGTGCTCGTTGCTGAAGAGGTGGCTTCTCCTCCTCCTGAGAGGCGGGCACAGGTGCACCCACGTGGGGCGGACAGGAGAGTGGTTCTGGAGGAGCCAGTGCCTCTTGCCGGCAGCTCAGCTGGTGTGAGCCAGACTGAAGCCCAGGAGCTGCTCTGGGGAACAGAAGGAGATGCCTCACCAGCCCAGCCCCCACCAGTGGGCATAGGAGAGACTGAGAGGCAGCTGGCCATTCTGGAGCGAGCTGGGCATCTGAGTGAGGAGCTGGCCCCCACGGGCAGCCAGGGGCAGGCTGTGGCGGAGCAGGGCCAGCATGGGGAGAGCACCCTGGAGCAGGGGCTGCAGCACAGCAGGGACAAGGCCAAGGAGAGCACCTCGCTCTCCCAACCCCACCTCACTGGCCCCCAGGTGGCGGGGCAGGAGCAGCTTAAGGCCCTGCGGGAAGAAGAGGCCAACACGGCCCTGGAAAGAGAGAAGGACGACATGAAAACCAAACTTCTGCAGCTGGAAGAAGTCGTTCGGGTTCTTGAGAAAGAAGCAGATTCAAGAGAGAACAACAGGTTTGGTTTCTACCCATTCTTAGAATGTCAGGCTATATACCCTCTAACCTCTCACCTCCAGCTCCACTGCATGGGCCTCGTCACAGCTGCTGATGGGGATTATGTAACCCTCATGCCTGTGCAGGGGTCATAAGCCCGGCCCCGACCCCGGGGCATCCCACAGGTCACCACATGCCCAGTGAATGGGTGAGGGCAGAGCTGGGCCGTTCTGGGCAGTTCATCTGGCCTTGGTGTCCTAAGGACATCTCCTGCTCCTGTCCTTAGGAAATTCTCGCTGGTCTTACAAGGACAAAGACAGACTGTGTTTGGAACCCTGCTTCAGTTCTGGGTCTCCTGAGCTCTCTTCCTGCTGACTTTGAGCAGGACCCACTACTTTGCCCCGCCAGCATGTGTGCCAGGCACTGTCCTTGAACTGCAAGTTCCTGAGCTTCCTGAGTGGAGCAAGAGGAGGCTGTCCAGCCCAGACACCTCCTGGGAGGCTGGGGGTGGGGCATGAGTGCCCAGGGGGGGTTCAAGATGCTGCTGCAGTTGATGCCTTCAGGGGAAGCCTGAAGCTGGGGAGATGGCCTCGAGATGTTGGTATGTGGGCCAAGTTCAGAGAGCTCTACAGTCCCCCTCAGGCATCAGCTCCTGCTACCTGGGTGACCACGGGCAGTTAGCTTCATTGAGTAAAAAGATTATGTGGGATTGACATGAAACCAAAAGGAAGAAATGTCAAGGCACCACCCAGCTTAAGAAAAAATACTAGCATAGCTAGAAGCCTCCTAGGCACCAGGCCTCCTCACCTCCTAGAGGTGCCATTACTTGATGTCCCTGCCTTTTATGTGGGTGTCTCTAAACCATAGAGCACTTTGTTTGTAGTGGCCTGACTTCTAAATTTTGTCACCCATGAAGTGCAGAGGGTGCCGTGCCCCCAAAGGGCATGGGGCACGAAATGAATGTAGAACACGCACTTTACTATTCTGGATGCTCCATAGCAAGTCCCAGACACACACAGGCTGGTCTTGGGCCCTGCGGACACATCGTGGGTACCTGTTCTGCACACGAGTCTGTGGCAGGCCCCAGGCAAACACAGGGAGGGGCCTTAGGCACAGAAGCAGCCCAGCACTTTGAGTCTCACTCCCTTCCTGTTGACCCCACAGCTAAAGTCAAAGTTGTATTCTCAGGAGGGTCTTCACTCCTTGACAGTGATTATGGGGCATCTTCTATGTGGGGGTACAGCTAGGGATAGCAGCAGGGTGCAAGACCGGTTTACGGCTTTCAGCCTCTGGGGGAGGTGCCGTGCTTCCTGCGTGTCTCAGTGTCAGGAAGAAACTCACTGCCCTGTTTCAAATATGAGGAAACTTAAAGGCCATGCTGCTGAGACCATGTACATTTTCTAGGGACACGTGCACAATGGTGAAAGCCTAAGGGAGTATATAGAAACGACTGGGCCAAATTCAAGCCGGTAGTTTTCTTTCTGAGAGGTGAGGTGTTCAGATCTGGGAAGGCGGAGGAGGACCTGGGGCAGGAGCAGGCTTTGCCCAGGTTAGAGGGCCTTGGGGAATAAGGAGATGGCTGTGCAGAGGGGAATGTGAATAGGAACCAGCTCTTGTGGGTATGGGGAGGATTTTTGAGAGGCAGGCTGCTGGGGCCCTGAGCCGGGCAGCTGTGGAAACATGCTCTTGGTTAGCCAGGGAAACTGGGAAGAGTGGATTGCAGGGGTTGTGGGGTGGGTGTGTAGGAGGAGGTGGGTGGAGGGCAGGGGGAGGTGGTTATTGCAGATGTCAGGCAAGAAGTGACAGTTGCTGGGGACCAGAGTGATAGCACCAGAGGTGCAGGGAGTCAACTGGCAGGAGTGTCGAGGCCAAGTTGATGGGTTACAGGAGGATGGGATTTTAACAGGGAGATTGGAAGTGGGTCACAGAGCACTCAGAGGACTCCACAGAAATGCCACTGACCAAGAAGTGGGGAGAGCAGGATTCAGTTACACTTGAGGAGCCTGTGGAGTGAGGTAGGTGGAGAGTCGAGGAAGGAGCCCTCAGAGGAAGGGGAAACCAAGGAGCTGTGTCTTTAGGGGAAGAATCCTGCAAGGAGAGAAGAACACTTGTCTCCAGAGCCCTTGAGAGGCCAATTCACACAAGACCTGCAGCCTGAAGGAGTCTACTGGGCTCAGCAACATGCAGGTGCCCCCTGAGCCCACTGGCATCCCTTACTCCCCAAGCTGGGCCCCCAGCCCCTGCTCTCTGAGGGCAGGTCTATCCCCAGCACCAGCCAGTGGACCCCTGGCCACAACTCCCTTGTGGCCACTTGTAAGGAAACACATGGGACCACCTTCCAAACCCACACCAGCCACAGGCCCCTTGGCTGGGCAGAGCTCAGACCTGCAGGATCTTAAAGGCCATGGTGAAGATTTGGGTCTTTATCAAGGAGAAAGCAAAGTGCAGAGTGACACGACCAGATTTGGATTGTGAAAGAATCTCTGCCAGTAGTTTAGAGAACAGAAGTGGTCTGAATGCCCACGTGGCCGAATTCATCCACGGTCACCTCTTCTGTTGCTCTTTTGCTCTATACACAATTCCACACACACCCTTTTTAAATTCTTTCTGAATCATTGGGGATAATTGCAGACATTATGACATTTTACTGCTAAATATTTCAACATGTTATTTTATAAGAACAAGGATGTTCTCCTGCATATCCACAGTATTGTTATCACATGTGGGAGATTTAATTCGAATGCACTGCTATTTTTAATTTGCACTCCACTTCCAGATTTTGCCAATTGTTTCAGTATGTATTTTCTAGTTTGTTCACCTACCCCAGATCTAATCAAGGATTGTGGTGTGCATTTAGTTACTATATCTCTTTAATATCCTTTAAGAGTGTACCAGTCTTTTTAAATTAGTTTTTCTGTCAATGGATATTGACTTTTTTTTAATCATGGCAAAGTATACATAATGTAAAATCGACCATTTTAACCACATAATTTAGTGGCATTAAACATGCACAACGTGTAAACCATCACCACTTTCTTTTTGTTTTTTTTCATCACCACTTTCTACTTCCAAAACTTTCTCATTCAAAGCAGAAACTCTGTATCTATTAAACATTTAAACATATAAACAAGTATTTTGTGAGGATTCTAGCATCAATGTTGGGAAAGGATATTGGTCTATAGTTTTCCTATAAGAGTTTGAGAAGGATTAGCATTTTCTTACTTAAATGTTTGGTAGGGGGCGCCTGGGGGGCTCAGTCGGTTGAGAGCCCGACTCCTGGTTTTGGCTCAGATCATGACCTCAGGGTCCTGGGGTAGAACACCGAGTCTGGCTCCATGCTGAGTGGCGAATCTGCTTGAGGATTCTCTCTCTCCCTTTGCCCCTCCCCCATTTGTGAGCGTGTGTCTCAAATAAATCTTTAAAACAAAAAAGATTCCACCATTGACATTGGATAGTCTGCTCTGTCTAGTTGTTGCTCTGTATTGGTTCTTAGTCTCCTATTGCTGCTGTAACTAATTACCACTATTACTAAGTTAGTGGCTTAAAACAACACTATTTATGATTTTACAGTTTTGGAGCTTAGAAGTCTGAAATGGTTATGACTGGACTAAAATTAAGATGCTGGCAGGGTTGCCTTCCTTTTTGGTGGCTCTAGAAGAGAATCGCTATTCTGTTTTCCAGCCTCTGTGGACTGCTTGCATTCCTTGTTTCTTGCCCCCTTCCATCTAAAGCTGGTAATGACTGGCCAGGTCCACCTGACATCACATCACTCTGACACCCACTCTCCTCCCTCCCTCTTCAACATTTCAGGATCCTGTGATTACATTGGGCCCACCTGGATGATCCAGGACCTATAGCTGTAGTTCATTCATATGGTTCATTGCTGTGGATTTTTCTGTTGTGTGAATATAACACAGTTTACTCATTCACTTGTGGATGGGCATTTGAATAGTGTTTAGTTTTAGTCTTCACAAATAGTACTGCTAAGAAAGTTCTTACCCATGTCTTTTGGAGCATTACATTGGGGTGTACCTAAGAATGGAATTGTCAGGTTATAGGGCATAGGTGTGGTTTTCTTTCCACTCATCCTGCTTAGAAAAACATTGTACCCATTGAATTTGTGTCTTATGAAAACTTCTCAGCCATTATTTTTAAAACATCACTTCTCCTCTCACTCTACAATTAGATGTATGATGTTAGATCTTTTCACTTTTCCTCCATTTCTTCCCTTCCATCTCTTTTACCTTCTTTTCTCTCTTGTCGCATTCTGGGTACTTTTTTTCCTATCTCTGTGTTCCGGATCACTAATTCTTCCTTCAGCTCTGTTTAAATCTGCCATTTAACTCATTCAGTGAGGTTTTATTTCGACATTGCCTTTTTTTTTTCTTCCCCATTTCCAAAAGCCCTGTTTTGTCCCTTTTGGTCTGATCATTTTTGATAGTTTCTTGTTTCTTGTTTATTTTTTATTTTTTATTATGTAAACATTTTACAATTTTATCCTTAGTTTGTGTCTGATAATTCCAATATCTGAGGTTCCTGTGGGATCCAGTCTGCTGTTTTGCTTCTGCTGCTGCTGGGAGGTGGCTTTTTTCCATGTATGTTGTGGTGATCTGTGACTGTGAGCTTGTGTTTACATGCTGTTCATCTCTGGGAATCTCCGGAACTGTAGTAGAAGATGCTTTCTGAAGAAAGGGCGGATACTGCTTTTGCTGAGACTTGGGACCGCCTTAACTTCCTTTGAGGGCACTGCTTAATGTAGGCCCGCCTGGTGTGGTTTTTCCACGCTGCTGCTGGCAGTGCTGCCATAGGCACTGGCCTCAGGGTGACCCTGTCTGTGTGTGGCCTAATGCTCACAGCTGGGGTTTCAGCATCTAGACTTTTGTTTTATTAGGGGCCCTTGGAGGTTTCCCTTACCTTCTGTGAGGACAGTCACCCATTGTATGGTCAGTCTCACACAGCTCTAGCTGCTTGGTGTGGTGAGGGGGATGGGGTGGGACAGCCATCAGCTTCTCTGAGGCCCAGGAAGCTGAAGTGGAAACCGCCCAACACACACAGCAACACTGAGTCAGTTTGTTTTCCATCCTGGAGCCAGAGTGGCGATTCCCAAACACAGACCTCGTTTGTTTCTCTCCTGTGCTTGAAACCATTTGCTGCTTTAAAAATTCCAATGACTTCCCTTTCTTTATTTTTCTCTTTAGTTCCTCATGAGATAAAATGAAGTTATATTTATGTGTATGAAGAAGACACTTATGCTTGGTATTATAAGCCTATTACATTAAACATAACAAGACCATGTGGCTTTGAGTATTTTTAGATTGAAAAAATTAGAAGCTAATGCCAGTAGGGACCTATTGGCGGGGGGAACAAATGTCAGACCAGTGTCTATTTAAAGAATAAATTTCTAGGGCGCCTGGGTGGCTCGGTTGAGTGACTGCCTTCAGCTCAGGTCATGATCCTGGAGTCCCGGGATCGAGTCCCGCATCGGGCTCCCTGCTCGGCAGGGAGTCTGCTTCTCCCTCTGACCCTCCCCCCTCTCATGCTCTCTCTCTCTCTTATTCTCTCTCTCAAATAAATAAATAAAATCTTTAAAAAAAAAAAAAGAATAAATTTCTAGGGTGGGGGTACCTGGGTGGCTCAGTTCGTTAAGCATCTGACTTCAGCTCGGTCCTGGGATCAAGCCCCATGTCGGGCTCCCTGCTCAGTAGGGAGTCTGCTTCTCCCTCTTGCTCTGCCCCTCCCCTTGCTTGTATGCACTCTCTCTCAAATAAGTAAAAATCTAAAAAAAAAAAAACAATAAATTTCTCGGGCAGCAAACACAGGTCTTAAGCTGCCTCATTTGTGATCTTTACTGGTAAATTGCTTCTCTGTCATATGTCAGTGGTGTTACCCAAGTGGAGATCTCTAAGGCATCAGAGAGCAAAGGTGGCTCCAAGCAGACTTGGTTCATGTAGTAGCTACTCATGCTTGCTTTTTCCCACTGAGGGATCCACCTTGCATTCGGTCTCTCTGTACAAGGGATGTGGGCATCTCCCCAGTTTCCTCGTCCCTAGTGCTGACCTGAAGAGTGTACAATGCAGGTAGCTCTCACTAAAGAGGAAAATGTGTTTTGGTCTTCTGATTGCTCATGCTCCTTAGCTCCATGCTAGAGTTCCTGGTTACTACCATGCCGTAACCTGAGGACCCACAGCCAGCATTGTGCGTTGATACCAGCCATGAGCACACTCGTTTTAGTTAGTGGTTGTGAGATGTGGTAACAGGTCAGCTGTAAACATGAAGTAAACAGAACCAAGGTGCTGAATACTCTTAATGAGTTGATTGTGTGATTGATTGTTTTAGAAGCTAAGAATGCTTTATTTTCTGTAGCTTGTTGCTTGGGAGATACAAACCATAGGATGTCAGCAGTGCATAAAGGAAAAGGAACCCTGTGCTCTGTGCCATCCAGAGATGATGCAGGATCCACCATGACTTCCACCTGCAAGACCATACTCATGTGAACTACTTATGGTGGCCAGCTCCTGGAGTCCCCACTCTTACCACTTGTTTTCAATTTTTCATGCAGAATCGAGTTGGATAGGCTTTCTGAAGAAAACACATTGTTGAAAAATGAGCTGGGAAGGATTCAGCAAAAGCTTGACGCTGCAGAAAGGACAAGTGATGCCCAGAGGTAAGGGCCCTGGCTCTGTGGTTCTGCCTGGACTCCAGTCTACAGCACGCTTTGCTCTCTGTACAATGAGTTTGAAGGTGTTGCTGTGAAAAGTGGGGAGTGTTCAGGCGCCTAGGTGGCTCAGCCAGTTGAGTGTCTGCCTCGATGTGGAAGGGGAGTGGCTTTCTACTTTCACTTCCATAGTCTTATCCAAGGACGGTTTGACCTTTTTTTTTTTTCAACTATGAAGTTAAAGATTATTAAAATATGGCATCCAGAGCAGGTGGTCAACAAGTGATTACTATTATATTACAGCATTTCTGAAATCTAAAAGTTTTTTCCCTTCTAGAAACCTTTGTTTCCCTGGACGCCTGGGTGGCTCAGTCAGTTAAGCATCTGCCTTCAGCTCAGGTCATGGTCCCGGGATCCCAGGATCGATCCTGCATCAGGCTCCCTGCTCAGCGGGGAGTCTGCTTCTCCCTCTCCATCTGTCCCCCCCGCCCCCACTAGTGCTTGTGCTCTCACTCTATCTCAAATATATAAATAACATCTTAAAAAAAAAGAAACCATTGTTTCCCTCATTCGCTGTCAGGAAATTTTACATTTTACAAGAGACATCAGCAGATACAAGGCTGTTTTCGTTCTATTTATGCCGCTGGGTGTGAACGGCCACATGTTTTGCTAACGAGATGTTACTGTGTGCGACTGAGAAATTCCATGGAGGTTCTTAGAGTACTGGCAGTGTTCCTCTGGTTCCCAGGGTCGGGGTCCCAGCTGGGTGGGCAGCAGCAGTGGTGGAGAACAGTGGCAGAGTGGTGGCTCTGGGGTCCCAGGAGCAGGCGTGAGAGTCTCTTCTGTGGCTGCACACCCTGAGCCACCACTGTTAGAGGGACAGTGACAGGGAAAAAAAGAAACTGGCTGGTCAGTGATACTATACATTTTGCTTTTTCAACAGGAAGGAAATCGAGGATTTAAAGAGAGACAGGGAAAAGGCCTGCTCTGAAGTGGAAGAGCTCAACAAACAGGTCAGGTATTGATACCTGCATGACGCTGACACCACTCTCCTTTTCTCATTATTTTGAAATAATTTCACACTTACAAAAAGGAAAGACAGAACTCTTTTTTTTTTTTAAAGATTTTATTTATTTATTTGAGAGAGAGAGAATTAGAAAGAGAGAACACATGAGAGGGGATAGGGTTAGAGAACAAAGCAGACTCCCTGCCGAGCAGGGAGCCCGATGCGGGACTCGATCCCGGGACTCCAGGATCATGACCTGAGCCGAAGGCAGTCGCTTAACCAACTGAGCCACCCAGGCGCCCCAAGACAGAACTCTTTTATGAAAGATCTGAGAGTGAGTTGCCAACCCATCCGCCCCTTCCCCGGCTCAAAGTTGGGATGTTAACATGGGTGCAAAAGTGCCGTCTGAGCCCCCACCCCACTGAGCTTTGCCAGCTGTCCCCTCCCTGGCAGAAGCACATGGCTCTCTCGGTCACGCCTTGGTTTTTAGGACCGGGGCACTTTTGAAGATTACAAGCAGTTCTTTTGTAGGAAGGCCCTCCGTTTGGTTTCTTTGATGTTCCCTTTAGATTATGCCTCTTTAGTGTGATTTGTCCCATTCCTTGTGATGTCATCTTTGATTCCTGGTTAGGTGGTGTTGGCTGGGCTTCTCCACAAGTGAGGTTACTTTTCCCTTTGTAATTGGTGAGTACTGTATGGGTAGATACTTTGACATTATGTAAATACCCTGTTCCTCATCAAACTCTCATTACCTTATTTTAGCATCCTTTGTTTTTTGCTGTGATGGTGGCCAGTTGGTAACTAATCTTATTGGTATTCTAGTATAAGGAAGAGCTTTCTTTTCTGTTCACTTATTTATTCATTCCATCATCATATTATTATCCTAGGATCCTGTTTAATTCAGTGGGTTATAATACATTACCATCAGTATTTATTTTCGTGTTCAAATTGTCCCAGAGTTGGCCAGTGAAAGTCCCTTCACAGTGGTTTCTGGGTCCTCCAGACAGATCCTGATCATTTTTTGAGCAGTTCCTTACTTTCTGGTACCCTCAGATATTCCATGTTCATCTAATACTTCCCCTGCCTTAGCCTGTAATCAGCTACCTCCCACAAGAAGCCCCCAGTCACCTTTACTGTAGAATGGTGTTTGGGACCAAGACCTGGGCACCAGGAGTGCCCACGGCTCCTGGGATGTCACTACTTCCAGGCACACTTAATGGATAGAGCTAAGGAGTGTGTATGTTCTTATATACATATGCATATGGTTGCATGAGTATTTATATATATATATATAATCTCTACTGAAAATCGTGAATTCAAACCCCATATATGCAATTCCCACCTAACATCATGGGGATGATCCTAGTTTCTCCCTTTCCATATTTGTAACTCCTATCTCCAGCAGTGAGAAGCCTGCTTTCTATCTTCAGAAGATCTACTTACTGTTGATTAATCTCCCCTTACCCCACACGTAAACGCCCTTCCCACTCTGTTTAAGCACTAACCCCCACTGGTCCTCTTTTTGCCCCCATACATAGATGCCTTTCATACTTGGTCTCATTTACTGGCTTTTGGATGAATTATTTATTTATTTATTTATTTATTATTTATTTATTTATTTATTTAATGTGTGAGAGAGTGGTTGAGAGAGAGACAGAGAGCACACGAGCTGGGGGAGAGGCAGAGGGAGAAGCAGACTCCCCGCAAGCAGGGAGCCTGATGTGGGACTCAATCCCAGGACCCTGGGATCATGACCTGAGCCGAAGGTGGAGCTTAACTGACTGAGCCACCCAGATGCCCTTTTGGATGCATTATTAAGGAGGAAGCACACAAGCTGGGATGTATCATTCTTGGTTTTTTTAATTCTTTTTTAATTGATATTGTTAGTGATAATTGCCAACTCATGTAGTTGTAAGAAATATAGAGAAATCCTTAAAACACTTTGACCAGTTTCCCCCAATGGTAACATTTTTTTTTTAAGTTTTTATTTAAATTTCACTTAACATCCAATGTAACATTAGTTTCAGGTGCACATATAGTAATTCAACACTTCCATGACAAGTGCGCTCCTTAATTCCCATCACCTATTTTATCCATTCTCCCACCCACCTCCCCTCTGGTAGCCATCAATTTGTTCTCTAGTTGAGAGCTTCTAGGTTTGCCTCTACCTTTTTTTCCCCTATGCTCTTTGTTTTGTTTCTGAAATTCCACATATGAGTGAAATCATATGGTGTGGTCTTTCTCTATTTCGCTTAGCATTATGCACTGTAGCTCCATCCATGTCATTGCAAATGGCAAGGTTTCATTCTTTTTTATGACCAAGTAATATTCCATTGTGTGTATGTGTATCTCATATCTTCTTTATCCATTAATGAGGGGATGTACGCTTGAGCTATTTCCATAATGTAGCTATTGTAGATAATGCTGCCATAAACATCAGGGTATATATATGCCTTTGAATTAGTATTTTTGTATTCTCTGGGTAAATACCTAGTAGTCTGACTGCTGGATTGTAGGGTAGTTCTGTTTTTAACTTTTTGAGAAACTGCCATACTGTTTTCTACAGTGGCCCCGCAGTTTGCATTCCCACCAACAGTGATGAGGGTTTCTCTTTCTCCACATCCTCGCCAACACCTATTGTTTCTTGTGTTGTTGATTTTAGCCATTCTGACAGGCATGAGGTGATATCTCGTAGTTTTGATTTGTATTTCCCTGATGATGAGTGAACTTTCCATGTGTCTGTTGGCCCCATCTGGATGTCTTTTTTAGAAAAATGTCTATTCATGTGGTCTGCCCATTTTTAAAAAATTGGATTAGTTGGTTTTTTGGGTATTGAGTTTTATAAGTTCTTTATATATTTTGGATACTAACCTTTTATCAGATATGTGATTTGCAAATATCTTTTCCCATTCTGTAGGCTGCCTTTTAGTTTTGTTGATTGTTTCCTTTGCTGTGCAGAAGCTTTTTATTTTGATGCAGTCCCAGTAGTTTATTTTTGCTTTTGTTTCCCTTGCCTCAGGAGACATATCTAGAAAGAAGTTGCTGTGGCCAGTGTCAGAGACATTACTGCCTATGCTGTCTTCTAGGATTTTTATGGTTTTCAGGTCTCACATTTAGGTCTTTCATCCATTTTGAGTATAATTTTGTGTGTGGTGGAAGAAAGTGGAAGAAAATTCATTCTTTTGCATGTTGCTGTCCAGTTTTCCCAAAACCATTTCTTGAAGAGACTTTTTCTCATTGGATATTCTTTCTTGCTTTGTTGAAGATTAATTGACCATACAGTGTAGGTTTATTTCTGGGTTTTCTCTTCTGTTCCATTGATCTATGTGTCTGTTTTTGTGCCAGTACCATACTTTTTTGATTACTAAAGCCTTGTAATATAACTTGTAGTCTTGAATTGTGATGTCTCCACCTTTTCTTTTTTAAGGTTGCTTTGGCTAGTCAAGGTCTTTTGTGGTTCCATACAAATTTCAGGATTGCTTATTCTAGTTCTGTGAAAAATGCTGTTGGTATTTTGATAGAGATGGCGTTAAATGTGTAGACTGCTTTGGGTAGTATGGACATTTTAACAATATTTGTTCTGATCCATGAACATGGAATGTCTTTCCATTTCTTTCTGTCATCAATTTTTTTCATCAGTATTTTATAGCTTTCAGAGGACAGGTCTTTCACTATGTTGGTTAGGTTTATTCCTAGGTATCTTATTGTTTTTGGTATAATTATAAATGGGATTGATCCCTGAAGGTCTCTTTCTCCTCCTTCATAATTAATGTAATGAAATGCAACAGATTTCTGTATGTTGATTTTGTATCCTGCAACTTTCCTGAATTCATTTATCAGTTCAAGCAGTTTTTCGGTGGAGTCTTTCAGGTTTTCTATATACAATGTCATGTCATCTGCAAATAGGGAAAGTTTTACCTCTTCCTTGCCAATTTAGATGCTTTTTATTTCTTTTTCTTGTCTGATTGCTATGGCCAGGACTGCCAGTACTGTGTTGAATAAAAGTGGTGAGAGTGGATATCCCTGTCTTATTCCTGACCTGAGAAAAACAGCTTTTCCCTCATTGAGGATGATGCTAACTGTGGCTTTTTCACCTATGGCCTTTATTATGTTTCCTCTAAACCTACTTTGTTGAGGGTTTTTAATCATGAATGGATGTTGTACTTTGTCAAATGCTTTTTCTGCATCTATTGAAAATGATCATATGGTTCCTGTCCTTTCTTTTATTAATGTGATGTGTTACACTGATTGATTTGCAAATTTTGAACAACGCTTGCAACCCAGGAATAAATCCCATTTGATTGTGATGAATTATTTTTGCTATTGTTGGATTCAGTTTGCTAGTATTTTGTTGAGGATTTTTGCATCTGTGTTCATCAGAGAAACAGCCCTGTAGTTCTCTTTTTTGGTGGTGTCTTTATCTGGTTTTGCTATCAGGGTAATATGGGCCTCATAGAATGAGTTTGGAAGTTTTCTTTCCTTTTTTACTTTTTGGAATAGTTTGAGAAGAATGGGTATTAACTCTAATTTATATGTTTGGTGGAATTTTCCTATGAAGCCATCTGGTCCTAGACTTTTGTTTTGTTGGGAGATTTTTGATTACTAATTTCACTTATTTGCTGGTTATCACTCTGTTCAAATTTTCTGTTTCTTCCTGTTTCAGTTTTGGTAATTTATATGTTTCTAAGAATTTATCCATTTTTTCTGAGCAGTCCAATTTGTTGGCATAGAGTTTTTCATAGTATTCTCTCATTGTTTGTATTTCTATGGTGTTGATTGTTATTTCTCCTCTCTCATTTGTGATTTTATTTATTTGGGTCCTTTTTCTTTTCTTTTGATAAGGCTACCAGGAGTTTATGAATTTTATTAATTTTTCAAAGAACCAGCTCCTGGTTTCATTGGTCTGTTCTACTGGTTTTTTTGCTTGTTTGCTTAGTTTCCATATCATTTATTTTTGCTCTAATCTTTATTATTTCCTTCCATCTGCTGGTTTTGGATCTTGTTTGT